TTCACTTTTAAATCGCACAGGCGCCGTACGGACATCGGGCGGTGACCTCCCGATCTGTTCAATTCTTTCTGTAAAATCCACTCGGCAAAAATCGCCCGACGACTGTTTAATTCATGACCACGCAAGGTATCAGATTTAAAATCGCCCGGCGTCCACGACATCAAAAAATTTGCCGATTTTATAAAAATCGTTTAATCGGACGGCGCCCGTTTTATTTGTGACCTAGGCATAACTAGTTAATTAAGATGTTAACTAGTTACGTAACTAGTTACTTTTTTTAATAAATAAAAGATCATAACGTGAAATAAATGCATGTTAGTGCTTGCAAATGCCATCCTTATAAGTAATAGAAAGAGCACCGAAACACGAGGCTATCTGATTTGTACGAGGGGGCGTAGCCCCCGAGTATAAATCAGATTGCCGAGTGTTTTGGTGTTCTTTCTCTTTTGTATCATAGTCAAACATGACAGCACGTTCCCTATTGTCATAATATGAAACCCCAGAAAAAATTAACCAATGAACGAGCATTTGAATATGACAGTTCTGCCCCTTTCCCTTTCTCTGCCGTCACAATATGTAAACCCCGGCAAAAATGAACCAATCCACGGGCATTATATGGAGTGCGGGTAACTGATACCTGCACTCCAGTTACCGCACTGTGCATGTATATGTATACGATTTAACTCTGACACTTTTTCAACAGAAAGGTCCCCAAACTATGATACAATATATTATTAGCTTAAAATTAAGAGGTTAACTAGTTACGTAACTAGTTAACCTCTTAGTTAACTAGTTAATTTATAGGTTAACTAGTTACGTAAATACCTAACTAGTTAACCTCTTAATCATCTAGTTAGTTAAGAGGTTAACTAGTTACGTAAATACCTAACTAGTTAACCTGATACCTAACTAGTTAATTAAGAGGTTAACTAGTTACGTAACTAGTTAACCTCTTAATTAACAAGTTAGGTATCAGGTTAACTAGTTACGTAACTAGTTAACCTCTTAATTAACTAGTTAGTTATCAGGTTAACTAGTTACATAACTAGTTAACCTCTTAATTAACTAGTTAGGTATCAGGTTAACTAGTTACGTAACTAGTTAATCCTTTAATTGACAAGTTAGTTATCAGGTTAACTAGTTACGTAAATACGTAACTAGTTAACCTCTTAATTAACTAGTTAATTAAGTGATTAACTAGTTACGTAACTAGTTAACCTGATACCTTACTAGTTAATTAAGAGGTTAACTAGTTACGTAACTAGTTAAACTCTTAATTAACAAGTTAGGTATCAGGTTAACTAGTTACGTAACTAGTTTACCTCTTAATTAACTAGTTAGTTATCAGGTTAACTAGTTACATAACTAGTTAACCTCTTAATTAACTAGTTAGGTATCAGGTTAACTAGTTACGTAACTGGTTAATCTCTTAATTGACAAGTTAGTTATCAGGTTAACTAGTTACGTAAATACGTAACTAGTTAACCTCTTAATTAACTAGTTAATTTTTTCAATAAATAAAAGATCATAACGGGAAATAAATGCCTGTTTGTGCCCGCAACTGCCATCCCTTATTATCTTAATTAACTAGTTAATTAAGTGGTTAACTAGTTACGTATTTACGTAACTAGTTAACCTGATAACTAACTAGTTAATTAAGAGATTAACTAGTTACGTAACTAGTTAACCTGATATCTAACTAGTTAATTAAGAGGTTATCTAGTTACGTAACTAGTTAACCTCTTTATATTAAGCTGATAATAAGGGATGGCAGTTACGGGCACAAACAGGCATTTATTTCCCGTTATGATCTTTTATTTATTGAAAAAATTAACTAGTTACGTAACTAGTTAACCTGATAACTAACTAGTTAATTAAGAGGTAAACTAGTTACGTAACTAGTTAACCTCTTAATTAACTAGTTAATTATCAGGTTATCTGGTGGCAGAAATATGCCACCATACATTATGCTAACGGTTTGAGTAAAATTATTTATGGAATTTTAATTATATTTTAATTATTTAGAAAATACGCATCCGTGTGTTACGAACTGGAAATGTTTCTATGCTAAATTATTAACGTTACCTGATTTTGTCAAATGAAAATATTGTATTATGTTTGTTCATTCTGTATCCATAAAGATATACAAATGTACTATGCTCATCTTTGGACGCAGAAATTTATTGAAATCTAATAAATTCTTCCTGAACATGTCTAAGTATATGTTAGTGTTCATCCATGCTGTTCTACAGAAATTAGAAACTTCGACGGGAGCGATAGCGACAGGACAATGTTTCTAATTTCTGTAGAACAGCTACGGATGAATACTAACATGTTTAGTGTCAAGCTTTATTTGGCCTCATTATTATTTACTTTATTACGTCACTACGCGGTTCTATGAAGTAAAGTCGACTATGGACGAATTCGATATAGTATCGACTTTTGTTCTTCTATGAAAATTAACGCACAGAAATACAGAGTTTTCATTGGGCACTAATTCAATTGAACCGTATACTGTACCGAAATTCGGATGATCGTTTTGTTACGGAAAATAGTCGTTATGGAAACATAGTGAAATTAGACTTCTACAGGTCACAGTTATCACATTTTTGTGCAAATGACATCTCATTTTGGTCTTTTGCATTTAAAGAAATACAAAACAATATTTCAAAATTTTTATTTGATTGGTATAATGCATATTTAAAAGAATACACCCGTTACGGAGGCATAGCATTTTAAACGCGACTTTTGAATTACTAACAATAAAGCGGTTTGTGTTAAAAATATTTCATCGCAGGAGTCTAATTTATCAATTTTATTCCAAACCTAGTCTTTTGATATTGTTTTGAGTACAAATTTAAAAGAATATAACACATCTCAAGATTGTTACATTCCAGTTTAAAATCGTTATGGTACCATAGTTGCATTTCGGAGACGGCAGCATTTAAAAAAAATCATGGAAAATAAGGGTATCTTTCTCGAACTTCTTATGTAATTCTGAATCAATTATCAATACTGTATTGATTTTAAGCAAGAACTTGTTGGAACACATGGAAATGGATAACTTTTTTAATCAATCTTAAACTTTAATTGATCAAGCGACAGCGATTTTTTTCAGTTACTATTGCTTTTCAGTTTAACACAAATGAAAAACGAGGAGCATCCACGATACAAAGTCAAGTTAAGCTGCTGAGAACATCCCAGTGTACTTACTAAAATGTTAGTCTGAAATGTTAAAGCTCGTCTATAAATTTTACTACGATTTTAAAAGTGGAGACATGAATTATTAAAAAGTGCTTCAATTATAGGAGAATGGCTGTATTGTGCTGAAAAGTGTAGAATATCGATTGTATACACAGATGCTTTTGTTTTCGAATGATCATATTAAATCTCAGTTTAAAATTGATACCAAAGTTTTTCGTAGATTATTATTTGTATATATGTTCATAGTTCTGCTGCATTTACTGTACAAAAATGTATATTAAAGATACATGCCTCCAGATGAACCAAAATATTTCAAGAATCAAACTTGGGAAAGTTGTTATGATATTTTAAGAATTACTAAACAGATTTAAGATTTAAATAATAATTTACATTATATTCTGCGATCAATGACTGATTTTCCATGTCTGATTTTCCAGTATTTATCACCATATTTGTACTGCGTGACTGACGCAGTATAGGCTATTTTTTATCTTATTTTTCTTTCTTTCATATTTTGTCCTCTTTTTGGTGATAAACGTGCATTGTTAGTGTCGTTTAAAATGTGTAAATTATATTCTTTGTTCGCTTCTCAATGTTTTACTTTAAATACATTTTCAAATTTTTCAAAATTTTATTGAAAAATAGCATGAATCTGGAGGCATGTTGCTTTTATGAAGAGCTGAAAAATAGATTTTTTCAAAAATTTTGTTTTAAATTGCATCATTTATTAAATACGCACGAATTTAATTGTTGTTGTTGTTGCGCATAGTTGTACATGGCACATAGTAGTCACGGTCACTGACTGCATGTTGTCTGTTCACCTATTCGTCTATATTAAGTATAGGTTAGAGTGCATATTGGGTGTTCGTCGTAAATAAGAAAGCTAAAAAGGAGCGGAGCTTGCGAAGCGACTGTAGCTTTCTTATTTACGAAGAACACCCAATATGCACTCTAACCGGCTTAGTGCTCCGCCCACTTGCGTTTTATAATATAAAACGTCCAGTATATATAAAATCTGTTCTATTAAGATTTGAAAACTGAAAATTTGAAAAATCCTCGTCGGTGATTGGCTTAAAAAAATTGGCGAGCACTAAGTTCGTTCAGAGGCATTAAGTTAACGGTGATGTTTGAACTATAAAGTAACGACAACTTTGCCATCAAGTATAAGGTTTAAAGTGATATAAAATTTATGTGATTATTATGTCTTGTGTGTTTTTCTCTCATATCATAGTTAAGTTTGGTTAATTGAGTTTACACTTTATCAAAATGTATTAAGGCGATTTTTTGTCGATTTTTTGTCTGTATTGTAAACAACACCAGTTAATGCATCACAATACGAAGATCATTACACAAAACATCACATCAAAATAACACAACATATTAAAACAACACAACATATCACAGCAACACAACATATCACAGTAAATATACAAGATATAGCAACACATCATAATACAGTAAAAATACAACAAATAGCAACACATAATGTCATAACATCACAACACATTACAGCAACGCAACTCATAAAAACAACACAACATATCACAACAACACATCAAAACAACACAACATTCACAACAACAAAACATACCACAATATCTTATTTTGCAAAGAAACAACAATGTTTAAAATGCAAACTAACACAATTATAAGTCAGTGTAGACATAAACAACACTCGTGAGCGTTTTTACAGTAGATGTATATATGGTTATTTAGAGCTCTAAACTTATCAAAATAAACTTGCTTGCATATGTGCTTTACCATGTTTACTTTTACCGATCTTTTCTTCTCGGCAGGTTTATACATTCACCAAAAACTAACGTCAGAAAATGGATTTAATAAATGCAGCGGTAAACGTGGTAAGGGTTCACTTATTGTATCGTATGAATTATATTTGTATTTTACGGATCTTCAAGTTTATTATATTATTATCACCAAAACCACTATATCTTTTAGACATGTTATTTTAAGTAATGAGATATTATCTGTTGAAATTTTATTTACTTCATCTCTTTCATTTTGGTGACTTTTATAGATTTCCTTCTTTTTAAGGGCAAACATTTAATGGGTGGTCATCCGTGTGAACAGAAACATGCTCATAACAATGAGGAGGATGCAAGAATATGCAATAAGAACGCGGAAAGGTAAATTATTTATGTAAAAAGGACGATCCTTCGGAAGTAAATGAAAACATCAATTGAAAGTTATAGACCTCATTTGCTCTAGTATATTTTATATATTTATGAGAAGCAAAGGAAATATCATAATTATACTAGTATCAGACTCCAAGCACTTGCTTGAACAGTGTTCAATTTTCAACATAGAAATTAAGTCCTTAAAAGGACACCACTAAAGTTTGTTGCATGAAAGGAACAACAATAGTTTTTGAAGATTTTTGTACCAGCGGGTGAAGGTCTTGATCAATAACCCGTGTTTAAAATTTCAGATCATTTGCTCAATCCGGTTTCTAGGGACAATAATTTTTATTGTGCAATTTGATCCCAAAATTAAAAGCGTCATTTAAACCGAAGAAAAATTTGATTATCAATTCAATATTTAAAATATTTTGTAGCATCTTTTGCATAGTTTCCATTTTCTGGTTAACCAGTTGATCTAGGTAAACAAGTTCAAATATTGTTACTTAACCCTTTTGAATCTCAGTGGAGCCCATTTAATATCAGACAAAACTTGAAAGAAGCAAGACAGGTTAAAATATATTACATTGGAAAACATGTCATATGCAAATAAATCCGTTGATGATTGCAGATTTTGCATTTCATTTGATTTTCTGTTCTGTTTGAAGCTAGCCAGGCGGGTACTTGCGTTTGAGCGTATCTTGCTACTGGTCAGTCAGAAGAAATAGGTAAAACTCAAATGTTTTTGCTGTTGCATGAGCCTGTCCAATTATTACTTTTATAGAGAGAGGCAAAAAATAGAGAAAAGAAGTGCTGAGAAAGATGAACTACAAAAGGAAAACAAAAATCTAAGGGATGAACTAAATGTACTGAAACTGGATCAAGTAAGGTAATTTTACTTTGTTTACCAAAGCCGAAAATACTCCTTGCCCGTACGGACCTAGAACACATTAATAGAATATCGTATTTCGTTATAATCTACGCTTCAAAATTACAAGAAAGTGTGAAGGACAGCTATATAGCAATGTCGGGTTTTTAACAATTGACTGACCTTGAACTTTGGGATAAATACTGTTACTCTATGCACATCGTAAGCACATCGTGTCATAGGGTTATTATTTATACAAAATTATTTAAACTTCTTCTTAAAATGTTTCATAATGGTGATCATTTGTGCCAAGGAATTAATTACGGAATTCCATAAACGACAGCCTACTGCTTACTGCCTACTGCTAACTGGGCAGCTTGCTTAATCTGAACAATTTTAATGTACTGTCACCAAGGAAATTGTTGTGTAAAATTATTTCAAAACTGAACCAGTGGTTTAGATGTTGGTTGTTGTTTTCTAATGTTAGCTCTGGCAGCCATTTTATGAAACAGTTCAGCCTGTCACTAAGTGAGAGGTGAGCTAATAAAAAGATAACAGAAAAAGAGAAGGAAAACAAACATTGACCTGGCTGGGGATTGAACTGTCGATCTCGAGGAAAATCAATGACCCCTGGGGCGGGGCCAATTTTGACCCTTTGGCTTTTATTTGAACAAACTTGGTAGACATCCACTAGAAGATGTTTATGCCAAATATCTAAGCTCTTTTGGATTTTCACAAGAAGTTACAATATCTGGCTTTTTGTTTAAATCGTTGGTCACGTGGTAAAACTAATTTTTATATAACTAATTATATATCAAATTGAAAAGCATTGCAACACATTTAACTTACTTGAATCGGCCCAAGAATCGAAGACATATTTCATTATCCATTCAAAACCGAGAATATTTCTGTAGTATATTTTGCATAGTTTCCATTTTCTGGTTAACCAGTTGATTTAGGTAAACAAGTTCAAATATTGTTACTTAACCCTTTTGAATCTCAGTGGAGCCCATTTAATATCAGACAAAACTCGAAAGAAGAAAGACTTAGTGTCATATCTACTTTTAAGCGGAAATTAAGTGGAAACTAACATCTAACAAGAGTCTTCCTATGTATTGTCACAGGTTAAAACATATAACCTTGTCCTATGTCCTATGTAAAAAAATCCGTTGATGATTGCGGATTTTGCATTTCATTTGATTTTCTATTCTGTTTGAAGCAAGCCAGGCAATGCTTGCGTTTGAGCGTATCTTGCCATTGGTCAGTCAGAAGAAATAGGAAAAACTTAATTGTTTTTGCTGTTGCTTGAGCCTGTCCAATTATTTCTTTTTTAGAGAGATGCAAAAAATAGAGAAAGAAATTGCTGAGAAAGGTGAACTACAAAAGGAAAACCAAAAACTAAGGGAAAAACTACATTTTGAGAAACAGGATCATTTAAGGTAATTTTACTTTGTTTATCGAAGCCGAAAATACTTTTTGCCCTTACGGACATAGAATACATTGATAGAATATCGTATTTCGGTATAATCTACGCTACTAAATTACAAGAAAATGTGAAGGACATCTATATAGCATTGTCGGAGTTTTAACATTAGACAGACCTTGAACTTTGGGATAAATGCTGTTACTATATACACCGTGTCAAAGGGTTATTATTTATACAAAGTTATTTAAACCTCTTCTTAAAATGTTTCATAACGGCGATCATTTGTGCCAAGGAATTTAATTTTTTCAGCAGTTTGGAACTTTGGAGCGGTCACCAAGTTTGGATTTTTCATATTTAATCTTTAAGTGTTACCTTGACCTTGAGGGTACCAACCTAGTTTCGCGCTCTGCACATTGTGTCATAATTACGGAATTCCATAAACGACAGCCTACTGCTCACTGCCTTCTGCTAACTGGACAGCCTACTGCTCACTGCCTTCTGCTAACTGGACAGCCTACTGTTCACTGCCTACTGCTAACTGGACAGCCTGCTGCTAACTGCCTTCTGCTAACTGGACAGCCTACTGCTCACTGCCTTCTGCTAACTGGACAGCCTACTGCTCACTGCCTTCTGCTAACTGGACAGCCTGCTGTTCACTGCCTACTGCTAACTGGACAGTCTACTGCTCACTGCCTTCTGCTAACTGGACAGCCTACTGCTCACTGCCTTCTGCTAACTGGACAGCCTACTGCTCACTGCCTTCTGCTAACTGGACAGCCTACTGCTCACTGCCTTCTGCTAACTGGACAGCCTACTGCTCACTGCCTTCTGCTAACTGGGCAGCCTATATACTGTTCACTGCCTACTGCTAATAATGGTACATTAAATCAATTTGTTCCATGCTTAATCTGAACAATTTTAGTGTACTGTCACCAAGGAAATTGTTGTGTAAAATTATTTCAAAACTGAACCAATGGTTTAGATGTTGTTGTTTTCTAATTTTAGCTCTGGTAGCCATTTTATTAAATATTTAAGTCTGTCACTTAGTGAGAGGTGAACTAAAAAGATGACAGAAAAAGAGAAGGAAAACAAACATTGACCTGGCTGGGGATTGAACTGTCGACCTCGGGCCAATTTTGACCCCAGGGGGTTTAATTCAACAAACATATAACATGTTTCATGCCAAAAATCTAAGCCTTACCTGTTTTGGATTTTCACAAGGATATTTTCTTAAAGTTTTACTATATACATATAAAGACAAGAGCGATCAGTAATCACATGTGTCGCCTCATGATGGCCAATTTCATGTTGGGACAAATTTTGTGACAGACAGACAGACAGACAGACGGACAGTGCACAACTAGACTTGGTACTGATCATTCCTGTAAAGTTTGGATAAAATTGCACCAGTAGTTTATGAGGAGTAGTCCGGACAAGCTTTTGCGTATCTGGCAACACACAGAAAAAAACACCTTTTTATCAAAGGGCCATAACTCAGCCAAAAATCATTCAACCGGAAAACCCGTGCAATATGCTCAAGGACTTGAGCTACAGATCAATCTTGTAAAGTTTCATTGAAATTGCATTAGTGGTATAAGAGAAGTAGTCCGGACCAACTTTAAAATTAAAAATTATCAAAGGGCCATAACTCTGACAAAAATCATTGAACCGGAAAATGCTGACAATATGCACAACTAAACTTGGTACTGGTCATTCCTGTAAAGTTTGGATGAAATTGCACCTGTAGTTTATGAGGAGTAGTCCGGACAAGCTTTTGTGTATCTGGCAACACACAGAAAAAGAAACCTTTTTATCAAAGGTCCATAACTCGGCCAAAAATCATTCAACCGGAAAACCCTTGCAATATGCGCAAGGACTTGAGCTACAGATCAATCCTGTAAAGTTTCATTGAAATTGCATTAGTGGTATAAGAGAAGTAGTCCGGACAAACTTTAAAATTAAAATTTTTTAAAGGGCCATAACTCTGGTGGCAGCGAGGGGATACAATTCCTATGTGGATTATTGTATTCCTAGAACAATCTACGTTGTGAGTTCTTCAAAGTCTTTTGTTTTTGGGACAACGGTGAACATTTTTGGCCAGAATGTCCGCCTTGGAAAATGTTTCAAAACAGACTAATCAGGGTGTGGATAAAGAACCAACTATCAACTCTCCGACCGCATGCTCGACTCCGATGAAGGATCAGATGGATTCAAAGGATAAGAACCCATGTGCTTCAACTAGTGATTCCGGAATCAGCCAAGTATTTTTTCCGCCTAATTTTGACAGCGATGTCAATACCTTGTCTCCCATTTGGAGTGAAAAGGACAGTGTTTCCGTTTTTACCAACAAACCAAAGAGAAGATGGATAACATTTCTAGTACTCTGGATAGCAGTCGTTCTGGTGGCCATAATATTTCAGTATTATAGAAGTGGAATTCTGAAAATACGTACATATGTTTTAGAAACGGTTATATTTTCCATCGATGAATATTTGCCGTATCTAGTGCTCGTGTGTATTTTTCTGGTTTCGTCTGTGTTGTTTTTCTGTTATGACTATGCCCTCCAGCGTTCGAGTAGAACAACTAGACAATCATCTAGTACAGAACACCATGAAGTACCAAGTGTTGGGACCTCTAATGTGCACAACTTTGTAAAAAATAGGCAGTATACTGCAAAGTCCCCATCCCGTGATTTTCCGTGTCGTAGAACATTCAGTGGAACTGGAAGTGACGTGTGGCACGATTTTAGAAGGTACTTCGATAATTTGACCATTTTGAATAACTGGTCCAAGAAGCGTCAAGGAGAACTTTTTTGTGTTCTTTGCGTGGTCAGGCGGAAGCATTCGCATACGGATTACCGTCAAGCGTGCAAAGTGATTTTGATTTGCTGTTCTCAAGGATGGAACAGAGATTTGGCATAGTAAATATGAAAGAAAGTTATATAGCTGATGCTAGGTTAAGAAGAAAGCAGAAAAATGAGACATACAGAGAATTTGGCCAATCTATTGAGGATCTTCTTAGAAAAGCTTATCCAGATTGCTTAGGAATAGTTGGAGAACTGTCGTTGAGTACTTTTCTTGAAAACTGTCATGATTCAGCTGACTTTAGGTTGTCTGTGAAAAGAACTAGACCCAAAACCTTGCAGGATGCGATAACAGCTGCCATACAAGAAGAGTGTTTAAGACAAACGGAACGTGAAAAACATAGAATTGACTAAAAGAGTGGGCGTGTCTGTCACCTAGAGCGTTATAACGAGCGGTCAAGACATGGAAACTTGACTTGTAATAGCTGGAGTTCAGACAGACGCCAGGTAGAATACTCGAATCAGAAGGATCAAAAGGAATCTCCTAGTAAGCAGGATTCTCAAGAATGTATCGGGAAACTAGGATCGACCGCCTCGGGAGGTCAGAGAAAGGTCGATCTCATTGTAAAGGAAAGACATCAACAGAGTGAAGTTACTGAAAACAATAAGAATTGTTTAAGTGTAAGACTAAAGAAGGATATGAACGTCTCAGGAAAAAATTCTAACCAACAAGTGAACTGGAAAATTGATAAAGGTGCAAAACGAACATTTATTTCCTCAGATACCTTTAAAAGCATTCAGTACCGGTATAGGCCTGAACTTAATCCAACAAAGTGCAGATTTAATCCAGCGAATGGTAATAAGGTTTTCTGTGATGGAGTTGCTTTGATTGTGCTTAACTTTAAAGAAACAGAGTGGGACTTATTCTTGGAGTACATCGTGATAGCATATAATAGCTCAATGCATGAAAGTACAGGTTATAGCCCATATCGAATTGTTTATGGAAAAGATATGTCGCTTCCAATTAATGTTCAGACCGGAAGTGAATTTAATGAGAGTACTGGAGAACGACACAACAACATTCCAACTTTCGTTAAAAATCTTCAAGAGAAATTGATTAAAATACACAGTCTTGTGCGAGACAATTTGTCGAAGTCCGTAGAAAGACAAAAGAAACATTACGACTGTCGCATGAAGATACATCAATATGAAATCGGTGATCTTGTTATGAGAAATCAGAAAAAGACGGTTCCAAGGGTAAAGTCAAAAATCGTACGCCATTGGACAGGGCCATGGATTATTATAGAAAAACAATGTGATGTGTTGTTGAAAATTCGACATTCCGAATCATCCCCACGTGTTATAGTTCATGGAGATAATCTTAAGAAGTTTCATGGGAGTTCAAGCATTAACGTACAAAAAGAACAGAATATTTCAACGGACATTCAACAGCCGAACTTGCCAGAATTCTTATCGAATGATGCAGAAATACACACAAGAAATTCTGTAGCAAATGAAGCTGGAAGTTCAATTAGTAATAAAACTTTAAATAAAGACTACAGAATGAATAAAAATAAATTAAACATAAACGCACGTCGTACGGACGGACAAACAGAGAACGTTAACAGACAGAGCATAACGGACCAAACGGATCAGTCTATTCAATCGGATCCGTTGGATCAGTCGGTGCAAATGAACATAACGGATCAGTCGGATCAATCAACTGAGGTGGAACGAGCACGCATTTCCCGTGCAGGAAAAAGGCGCGAAAACAATTTAACAAGCCCACATGTTAGTAGCACTGAAGATTTTATTCGAAGTAGATGTGTAATTAAAAAACCGGCTTATCTAAAAGATTTTGTTGATTTTATCAACTTGATATGGGTTATTGTTGTGACACTTGTGGAAAGAATTTTAGCAGTAATAGTAATCTAAAAAGACACGTAAAAGAGAAACACATACCTGAACAGAAATATTATGTGTGTACGGAAAAGAAGTGTGACGGATTATTTATCAGGATGTCATACTTGAGAAATCATCTTGAACGGAAACATGGACTAAGTGCTTTGAGATCAAAGCGTAGGAGTGTTTGTGCTCAGAAGATGACCAAAAAGGAATGGAGAGAATCTTATTACAGTGACATAAGCTCAGACGAGAGTTTCTGTGAAAGCTTAATAGGAACAGAAGTCAGATTATGATCCTGTTAATCAGCAGCAACAAGATTCTTCTGTTAATGAACACGTGATGAGCACCAGTAATCAACTAGATGGGAACACTGCAACATCTCAACATAATTAAGTTAATCACAGCCACGGAATCTAAGTGTGTTGACGGAAGTGTGGAATCAAATCCAGATCTTAGTGATTACTTAAAAGCTCTAGAAGATCTTGACTGACATACTGAAGTTAGCATTCCAGAACCCGATGATACAGTGCAAAATTATTTCGAGCAAATTGCACAGTGTGTTGATGAAACACAAAGTGTAGCAAGTGATGGAACATGTGTACAAGATGAAAACTGTGATATTAATTTACAGGATGAAGAATGTGACGTCATTACAGAAGATAGAAATTATGACATAAACAAAGAATGTGAAGGTGAAAATTGTGACGTAAACAACAATTATACATATGCAAACAATCAAAATGAGGCTGAACTATCGAATCAAGACAATGTAGATGATAGCGGTATCGTGAACGATGACGTCATATATGATGATATCAGCAACCCAAAGGAGGATGATGACGTCATTAATATTGATGACGAGAATGCTAATACTCAAGAGGAATATATTGTCTCAGCTATCAACTTGACATTGCAGCGCACAATAAAGCTTGTCAATTATGGAACACCTACGGAGGTATTTTTAAAACGTACAGCTTCAATTGGATATAGCGAACACATTGATTTAGATGAAGTGACACCATGGAGATTATTTGAACTTTTTCAAGAAGAATTCAAAGAATATGCTTCACAGTATCATGATAAAAATTTACTGACAGATGTAAACTATAAATGTGAAAATTAACAAGTGTTACGACATCTAATAGATAAGTGAACAACATTTTTCTCATAAGAAATGAGCTTCTTTTGTTTATGTTTAATCATGTTAATATTGAATATGCTCATTTAATTTTGTAATAAAAATCATTAATAAGTGTAATTTAAATATATGAACAGTGGAAGTTCAGACTCTCAAGGAGGGGGCAGTGTGACGAATTTTGATTGGACATATAGACTTTTTAGGACTGTATAGATTTATAGGAAGTAAAGGTTTATTTGGACTTAGAGGAATAGCTTTTACCTATATAAAGAGATGTTATGATCAGTGTTAGGGGGATTGTGTTTGAGTTCATTCAGTTAAGATGTTATTTTTTGGTTTGTTGTAATTGTATGGAATACTTGATATTTGGTGGAATAATACATTTATTTTACACAGTAGAGTTATTATTTATTGAGTTCTAATATATCATCGCCCAGAGAACCACGAAGCGTTACATATTACTATAAAACTATTTTTTATTCAACTAATTATATATCAAATTAAAAAGCATTGCAACACATTTCACTTAAATCGGCCACAGACGCTTGGGGTTATGTGCGTGGCTCCCCTCCTTGATCCGCACTTGTATACACCTTGTGTATTTTTATCGTGCAAACCGTACGTCCAAATATTTTTGCATATTATTACGACCTGGTCACATGTCTTGAACATAAAACTTGTTTTCCGCTATTTTAACAACGTTTAAAAAAGTCCCTAAAATATCATAATTTCATAAAGATAACAACGTACGCTTTCCTTTGATGTGAGACGACTGGAATGAGTTTGGGCACTGTTTTGCGCTTTCATTTATGCCGAGAACCAAAATCCCCGCAGTGGTTACTTCCCCTAATCAGTACAGAAACCAAATCAAGAAGACTGACGGAAAGGGCCGAGTAGTTGCGATTGAATTTCTTTTTCCCAGCGATTTTCCCGCTGTAATTTACGGGAAACATTCCAGTCGTCATGAATTCGGAAAGAAGCATGTGACACGGTTAGGCAAAATGTAATTAAAAGTGCAAAGCTTGGAAGAAAGGTACGATCTGAAAATAACCTGCTTTATTTATTAAAGGAATATATGCATAGACTGATTTACACCAGAAATAAATGGCATGCGATAACATAAATACCTGAAATATATGTAGGTCAGTTGTGTTTACATTTCGAAGCTTGGTATCTTCAGGAAATTGAAGCGTTGGTAAAAAATTGAGTTTTTTAAAACGTTATGAAATTCGGTTGAAACTTGTTCACGTGTTAGACACTTAACCGTCTCATACTAATATAAGCAAAAATTTAAAACTTATTATTGTAATAGATAATACTTTTACTTTTTTATATTCAGGGGCGGAGAAGGGCGGGGTCTATACTCCAAGTGTCTGTGAAATCGGCCCAAAAATCGAAGACATATTTCATTAATAATGTAATACCGAGAATATTTCTGTAGTATCTTAAATTGCATAGTTTCCATTTTCGGCTTAACCAGTTGATTAAAGTAAACAAAATTGAATATTGTTATTTACGTCTTTTGAATCTCAGTGGAGCCCATTTAATATCAGACAAACCTTGAAAGAATCAAGACTGCACACAGGTTAAAACATATTACCTTAATAAGAATCCGTTGCTGATTGCAGATATTTTGCATTTCATTTGATTTTCTGTTCTGTTTGAAGCTAGCCAGACAGGTGCTTGCGTTCGCGCGTATCTTGCCATTGGTCAGTCAAAAGAAATAGGTAAAACTCAAATGTTTTTGCTGTTGCTTGAGCCTGTCTAATTATTACTTTTTAGAGAGAGGCAAGACAAAGAGAAAGAAATTGCTGAGAAAGCTGAACTACAAAAGGAAAACCAAAACCTAAAGGATAAACTAAGGTAATTTTACTTTGCTTATCGAAGCCGAAAATACTTCTTGCCCTTACGGACCAAGAATGCATTGATAGAATATCGTATTTCGGTATAATTAAGAATTCTAACACGACCCGCATTTTTCCCTATTGAACATAGAAGAACCGAAAGTGTGTATTATTATGCAACAAAATCACTGTTGACGTTCTTTTTTTTTTAGACTTGTGACGTAATCATTATATACATGTGACGTAACCATTAAAAATGCGACGCGCTAAAAATAAGTACGGAAACAAATCAGGTGCAATTTAGCAAATCGGTGATTTTATCGCTTGATAACATCACTAGCTGTTTGTCGTTCGTATGCGCATTATTATATCACTCGGGCTACGCCCTCGTGATATACCTCCTCGCATCCGAACTCCAAACAGTGATGTTATTGAGCGATAAAATCATTGTTTGGGATATATTATTTCTTAAATATGTATCATAATAGATGTTGAAATATGAATTTTTTTCAAAACGGCTTATATTAAGTTTTTTTTTATATATATGATCAGTACATGTGCAGGGATTGACAAATATGCATTTTATTTGGATTTTAAAGGCGTTTTGAGCTCCAAACCCCAAGTGTCTGTGCTTTGGGACTGCTTAAAAAATGTTAATAAGTACCTCTTGTAACTTCATGAAATTATTGAACCTTTCTGTGTTCGAGTCGACTTAGGCGGTGTTAATTCTTGAAAAGATATGTATATGTAAAAATAAAATGTACGTTATTTATTTGATAATTAGGTTTTTACAATCATTTCTAGACTGGTTCAAGAAATGCACCTTATTTTTCTTTCGATGTCCGATGATGAACTTTATGCATTGATATATAATGTGAAATCGAAAGTCACATAGTAAAACTATTTTTTCTTAAAATTTCAGGACTACATCACAGTGCTGTGTGGTTTCCTAGACAACAAAAGGAACATAACCAAGTCACAGCTGAAAAATAAAAACTTTTTTAATTTAGTTTATATCTCATAGAATACATCTCATATTGCTTTTTCATATTTCTTTGATCAAGTTTTTTTTTTTAATATATCGTCGTGCTAGTATAATAAGGTCCTAAGTGCCATTATGTAACATTGCGGGAAATCGAGCTTTAAATTTTAGTTAACAGAAAAATGTTACTGGACCATGTAATGATGGAGATTTTTTGCATGAATCATTAATATGTTCTATCATAACTTGCAAACAAAGATTTTACACGATATCTTTAGAGATATTTTCTAAAACCGGATTTTTCATTTTGAGATAGAGCTTTTTGCTTATTTGTACTTGCCGGAAGCTTAGAATTATGTTGCACCCGGAGATAGAGCATTTTAAAACTGCCTAGGATAATATGAACTAGGATATAGGATATTTTAAAACTAATAAATATGTTCAATTCTAATGAAAACAAATAGGATTATTATGGTATTTGTATAAACAAACTTAAAATTCTGGTCAATAATTGTATTTTTATCTTTCAGATACACATTTTGATATAACTTGTGACAAAGAAATAAATTTGAATAAATTATTTCACCTGTTGGCATCAGTAACATACAGGTTTTGTAATAGATCGCAATAAACTACTTGTACTTTACCTGCATTGTGAATTTTTACAAAACTGAAACAAAAGATTTCAACACAATCACTTTAAATATTTATCATATAACTATAAGGCAATAGTTTTTCCAACCTAAAAAAATTCTGCAATATTAACGAACAAAAACACTTTATTCACTTAGTTACAGACAAAAACTGAATATAAAATCAACTCTCTGATAAAATGGAAATTTTAACATGTTTATCTGTTACTTTGTCTTGAATTAATTCTTGATTTTATCTCTCTCTGTTAAAAAGACCAAAATGTTAAAAAAATGCCCCCGATAGATTTACAATAAAAATGCAACAACTATTGTCACAATTTAATAGGCAGCACATACTACAAAAACATAATGATAGATTGGAGGATTTGCAAAAACTTCTTTCACCTGAAAGAAACTTTACTCATTTTGAAAACTATGAAAGGAACATTCAATGTAACCATTTGCAATAAGTTCTTTAAACTATATGTGATCCTCCTTTTCTGCCAATAAGAGTGAAAATAAAAAAAAGTTTTAAAGGAACTTGATTGTTCACCTGATAACATTTGCATGAGAAAAAATATATACTAGTAATTGACAGTAGTTGATGACAAAATCTAATTGCAGGAAAGTTGTTTAAGTTTCTGCAATGTGAGACTTTAAGTTTTATTCTAGATGTGACAATTATAAAATTGGACTGTCTGAAATATCTAACCAATATGTTGATATACAGTGACTGAGCGAACTAAAATCATTGGTAAATTTTAAATGTTGAACAAGATGAATATTCATGGAATTAAAAATAGTTTAAGCCCACGAGCATGTTGGAAAATATTGTGGATGCCTCTATCGTTTAAGCTAAATGGAAAAGAAAATTCAAAATTTCTCATAAAAGGCAAAAACATTTAAGGCGCGGTTGTGGAGTCTTTAACATGTTAGTGGAAGAAATCTCAAAATAAACACTAGTATATGTTCTGGCATCTGCATTCAATGAAACACACTCTAATCTCTGAAACAATTAAAGTCTCTTATACTACAACAACCGTTGGTTATATAGACGACAGTATATTCAAACAAGAAACAACAACTATAACCGAAATTCAATCATCCGAATATATCCATAGTTTAAAAGTTATATTTTATAAAATTTATAACGACTTTTTTCACGATACCTTGTTAATTTTTTTTTGATAACTCAAATAGATGATTAAAAATGTTTCAGAATAAGTACATTAGCCTTAAACAACACTGCCTTCCATTTATTGCCATGTTTTAGAAAATATTAAAACAAAATAAAAAATTTCTCTTTAGAATTACAATACCCTATCTCCAGGAGTAGTGTTTATAACCATTTATATTTTAAAGGCGGTAACCATATATAATGGCATTATCTCTTTAAAAAGAATAAAAGGTTTTGCTTTGACTTAATGGTAATATTTCCTACCAATTTATCAAATATGATACTAAAAAACTAACTTACTTCTGGTAGCCAGTTTAAGCAATGGTGTCAATGCTTTTTGACAAAGCAAAATCTGTCACATGACCTCGCACACAATCACTGATTGGCTCATGGACATAGAGCAACATAATAATTAATTCAACTATTATTTTCGAAAATGGAAAATGATATACATGCTATTATATCAAGCAGGGTAACCTCATGCATAAATGGAAACCACCTGGAGATAGATCTTTTAATTCTGAATCCAGTGGTATATCATACTCAATTTTCATGAAAATGGAGATAGGACCTTATAATACTAGCACGACGATATTGCCAATAATTCTATAAAACGTTTGTTTTATCATGAAAGTAATTTCATAGCAATTGTCAGGAGAATTAGAGAGGTATATCATGTGACTTTTTTGTGTGATCTGCGTGGGGCTAAAAACCAATGCAGCAGACGGTTCGTGTAATATGTTTTTCATATTTTTTGTCTAAATATTTCATTTTTATGGGGTGCTGAGCCCTTCATAACCAATACATTTGTTTTCAGTAAAGTGAACATGTTTAAAAATACAGAACTTCACAAGGCTTCGATTTACGAAATGGATAATATTCTTTCCACGAAACATTTTTGCATGGGTTACTAGCGGGCTCTACACTTTTTCATTTATAAAATTATGAACTATTCTTAAAAAGTCACGGATGCAAATACTATGTACACACGTAACGTTTTTTGCCCACGCATGTCATAAAAATAGTTGTCATTATCAGCAGCTACACTAGTGGTAACTATAAAGTTCAAGAGTAAGCACAGGATGAATTTCAAGATTATACATTGTCCAGTATTATCTCAAAGATAAAACTTAAACATGATGAAAATTTCAAGCCCATACTTAAAAAAATATATAAAAAAAATCTGTGTTAATTTTGTCAGTAATATATTTTCACTCTAGTACTATAAAGCTTATGAGACACGGTTTACCGGTTATATTGGCAGTGCTTTGTCTCCAGTGGAGAGATATCCCATCCTGCACATCGTCCATTTTGACAAAACTATATGAGCAGCTAGCGTCACGACAAAACCAACATAATGGGTTTGCGACCAGCATGGATCCAGACCAGCCTACGCATTCGCGCAGTCTGATCAGGATCCATGCTGTTCGCTTACCAACCCTATTACAAGTAGAGAAACTGATAGCGAACAGCATGGATCCTGATCAGACTGCGCGGATGCGCAGGCTGGTCTGGATCTATGCTGGTCGCAAGCGCACTATGTTGGTTTTTCGTGACGCGGCTCATATTTTCACGCCTTGCAAACATCGGAACATGTAGGCTATTAGACTCTAATGTTATTTAATTGTTTGGTTAGATTTAACGTCTCACCAACACAATTTAGGTCATATGGCGACTTTCCAGCTTTACTGGTGTAGGAAGGTCTCAGGTGCACCTTTGTTCATTATTTCAGGCACGAACGAGCACATGAGTAGAACCACGGACGTCACATAAGCTAGCTGAATAGCTTCCTCACATGAAACAATCCAGAGTCCCTGTCAGGATTCGAACCCACAGCGGTGAGGGGCAAATGGTAATGTCTGCAGTAAGCACGTCAAATTATGGCCTTTCTTGTGCACCAAATTTTAATCTAAATAAAATATCAACACATACTGGGTTAAGAACAAGTTCAACAGTATTTTAACTAATTCCCATCGCGAAGTCACCTAGCAGCTCCTCTTTGGGTACGAATAATAAAGGACTAGAGCTTGTAAATGCGGACCACCTGCCGATGACTTGAGGCCGAGGAGAACGGCCGTACAAAAATTCAGCGACGACGAGGAAAGGTACAAGGGTGCGTGAGCCCCTATTGACCCTTTGCTTGACACCAAATGCCCTTAACAGGGTTACCTCCCCTTTTCATATTGTCTCTCATTGACCGCTGAACAGTGACCTACTTTCGTAGAAAAGTTAAAATTCATTTCATTGGCTTATACTACGTGAAAAATGCACGGAGGTAAATAATCACCACTTTGTGCTTCAAAATTATCACTTAAAGGGCATGTCCGGGTCCATATTCGAAAGCTGCTTTTTGTGCCTTAATGGGCGGACAGACTCCCATTAACAATAGAATACATACATATAAACGGAGATACCTATCAGGTTTATTTAATTTTGTTCACGTGCTAACAGTCAGTATTGTCAAGATTGTGCAATCTTTGAAACGGTCGTATGTAAATAAAACCTATCATTGTGAATATAAAAAATGCCTATAAAATCGGGAATTTTATAAAATGAAAAGGGGATAAATCAGACTGAATCCATACACGAGTTGTTATGTACTTTGTTGAGTGACCTATAATGAAGGCCGCGTACGCGTATTCCGTTAAAGGTTAAAGTTAAAACTCAAAGACCCTTTATGCGCCAGAAAGAAAGCATGCAAAGACTACAGCTAGAGAGGTGATGGCAGGGTACATTAAACTCAAGCTCAGCGGAAAACTCAGTCAGGAGAATTCACTATTCTATTTGAAAGCCCATGTGAGAAAGAAAAAGTCAAATTTAAAGGTGAAGGGGAAATAAAAGACATATAAAGAGAGAAAATAAGCTTTTTTTCTGATATATTTACTCAATATCATTACCTTCAACAAATATTAACAATTTCTAAAATGAGCACATAAAAACTGAATAAATCTTAATTAATGTACCTGAAAAAGATTTCAATCAAGTATCCAATATTCAAATGTAGTAAAATGAAATATCTAACTGTCTATACATCTTAATAAAAAATTCATTTGATCCAGTAAATCAGCGATAGTGTGCTTACTAAATAACTATAATAAACCTAGATAAGTAAAAATGTATTTCACATATAATTTTATTGATTTTTTTTAACATGGGTACATGAGGTCTTTGATAGATTGTCGTCACATGACCTTCACATTGACTTAAAACTCAACAAAACAATAACAAAAAATTAATAAAAAACAAACTAATCATTTACAACCACTAATATCGTATAACAAAAGTCCTTAAAAAAGCAAACGATAGATTATTGTTGGTTTATACAAATTTATTTTAGTTCGATTGTGTTGGAAGCTATAAGCTTATTGAATCACTCTCGAATCCGTTCCTGGAACCAACCAGTACTAAGCAATGAATGTAAAGTTTCTTGCTCAAGGAAACAACGGCTTGCCCCTGACAGGGTTTGAACCCACGCGGTAAGCAATCATTAGATTACTAAGCAATCCTTAGATTACTAGTCCGACGCGTTAACCACTCGGCCACGCCGCCACTAGATTATTGTTAACATTGTAACAGAAAAAAACCCGTCCTAATTTATAAAAGCAACAATTAGTACATTGTAAACATTATGAAACCGAAATAAAACAAGAACGTGTTTGTTAAACACAAATGCCCCCGGCTCCGATTTTTGTCAGTAGCAATATTTCAAAAAATGTTTACCTATTCACTCAGTTATGGACAGAAACATTGCCAAAAAATTGTAAACACAAGTTATATAGCTTGACAGAGTCGTGGCATTTTGTAATTGTGAAACATATAAGTTGCCAAGCCATTGCTATGACTTGTGAAGTGATAAATATTCAACTTTATCAAATATATAAATGTGAGAAATCTATACTTGGCACCCTTGACCTTGACCCACTGACACCTATAGAATATCATGCAAGTTATCTTCCTACCAAATATGAAATACACCTGTCAATAAATAAAGGCTGTATGGGCAAAAATGTTAAAATCTATTTTGAGCATTGATGACCTTGACCAAACTGACCCCTAACTCCATCCAAAGGAAGGATACCATGCAAGTTATCTTCCAACCAAATATGAAATAAATCTATCAATAAATAAAGGCTGTATGGGCAAAAGTGTAAAAATCTATTTTTAACACTTGTGACCTTGACCCAACTGACCCCCCTTACTCCATCAAAAGAAAGAATAACATGCAAGTTATCTTCCTACCAAATATGAAATATATCTGTCAATAAATAAAGGCTGTATGGGCAAAAGTGTAAACATCTATTTTTAGCACTAGTGACCTTGACACACTGATCCCTAACTCAATCATAAGGAAGAATACCATTCAAGTTATCTTCCTACCAAATATGAAATACACCTGTCAATAAATAAAGCCTGTATGGGCAAAAGTGTAAAAATCTATTTTTAGCACAATTGACCTTGACCCACTGATCCCTACCCCAATCAAAAGGATGAATACCATGCAAGTTATTTTCCTACCAAATATGAAATATATCTGTCAATAAATAAAGGCTGTATGAGCAAAAGTGTAAAAATCTATTTTTAGCACTGGTGACCTTGACCCAACTGACCACTAACTCCGTCAATTTTTATGTTCCTATCAATTATAAATGACATCCGTCTATAGAATATGGTTAATACACCTGTAAAAATCTATTTTTAACATTGGTGACCTTAACATGGGTGACATTGACCTTGACCCAAATGACCCCTTACTATACCCAAAGAAGGAAGACATCCCTTGGCATGTTTGTATAAAACATGAAAGACATCAACTAAAAAATAAAGGCTGTATGTGCAGAAATGTTTAAATTATTTTTTAAACAAGTGACCTTGACCTTGACCCTAGAGACCACTTACTTCACAAAAAATTAGAGGACCATTAAAGGTATCCACCTACCAAATATGCAAGATATCATTAAATAAATTAAGCAATTAAGAGAAATTTACGATAAATCCAACTTGCCGGAATAGGTTAACCAGACAAGGCCCTATTTTCAAAGTGAAAAAAGGGAAATAACTGGGAAATATGGATGACACAGTTATATAACTTGGCAATATCATGTACATGTACTTTGAATTGATAAGTAAGTTTGGAAATTATGAAGCCATTAGTATAGATAGAACTTAAGATACATGTATTTCCAACTTGCCGTTTTAGGTTAACCATTATTCATTTTCTAAGAGCTGAAAAGGGCAATAACTTGGTAAATATGGAAGCCATAGTTATGTAACTTGACCAGATCATGTACTTTGTATTGATTAGTAAGTGTGTAAACTAAGAAGTCATTGGTACATTTAGAACTTAAGAAAAATCCAACTTGCCATTCTAGGTTAACCTCGTATGGACAGACGGACAGATGGACAGATGGTTCAATTACTATATGCACGGGGGCATAAAAATGTTCCGCTTATTTAGTATACTAAATATAAATTCAATTCATGAAGCTTTTTAAAGGATGACAATGATTTTTAAGACAATTTAAAAGCATTAAAAGGTTTTCATAAATCCACCAATGTCAACGCAATGTGGGTCATGATGTTAATGTTATGGAGATAAAAAGTTGACCCATATCTGGAGATAACCCTTCATGGTTCAAGTGATATAAAACGAAATGATTCTTATACAGATTTTTTAATGATGCCTCTGTTTTAGGTTACACTTAACTTCAACAACACTTGATCAAAGTGCCTCATGGTTCAAGAGATAAAATACGCATATAGTGACACATATTTCTTAAAGTTCAAAGTCTAATACCTTTCATTATTTTATGAACAGGTTATATAATATAATGTTGTAGCAACTTTGAATCAGACAACACAAATATTTACGAAAAACCTAACCGAAATTAAAGGTAAAGTAAGGGGCATCATTTTGTCAAAATCCACCACAGAATTATGTTCTCTTGCCTGTAAATAGGAATGATGGTAAGATAAATGATCGGCTATATACCCTTAGCTAAACATCTGGAACAGCTGAAATGTTGCACACTTCTTGGCATTGTAAGGTACAACAATGGAGCCAAATCTCATGTCAATGACATTTCAGAAAAGTCATAAAATACTTTGTTGCTAATTTTTTTTCTCTTTTAGAAAATGGTTGGCTATAAATCCTGAATCACAAGTTCAAATACGTTGTGTAAAAAGCTATATATAGCTTACATTTTGTGAAATGTTTCTATGTATACCGACAATAAATAACTTTTGTTTTGAGGTTGAAATTTTGTACGTTTTGTGTGTTATTACAATTCTACAATGGAGCTAAATAAAATGCAAATATATCTGATGAAAGGTTTTTGACAAACAAAATAAACAATTTTTCTTCCAGTATGTATGGCTAGACAAAACTTTTTTTTCCATGGAAGTCAACAGTTCTTAAAATTTGGGAAGTAAACTGTCCTTTAAAGCGCACTACATTTGAAATTCTTTGCTTTTAAGACATGACTGGCTTTGAATTTCAAGGTAAGCAGATGTTCTGTTATACATAAGATTAAATGTGTAAAAGAAATGAGATGTATCCACTTTAACTCTTGTATTTGAACAATTAAAAAGGCGAAAAAAGTACCATAAGTAGTTATTAACATGTTCTAAAAGAATCCAAAAGATTCTAGAAAGAACGGAGTTTCTAACAAGCTGCAAGTTTCATTTTAGTTACAGCCACCATGCAGCAACCACGATTAAAACAAAATTTTTAAAGTTTCTAAAGACTGAGCTATGAATGAGTCATTGAGTCATTGATCTACTATGAAAGAGGGGCCATTTTTTTACCTTGTAAAGGGGCATGGGTTAAAGGACAGGGCGGGAATATGTTGCTAAGGATCCTTCCCCTCCTTTGTCTCGAAAGGAAAATCCCCTTAACCATCACATTGACCTGTTATCCCACCTGAAACACACCTAGCCGGTTTCAGCAAACTGTGAACAGTTATTTACTTTTTTACAGACTTTGAGTGGTTCTCCATAAGAACCCTGTTGAGTTTTTGGTGTTGGGGAAAATTGTGTTTGGTAAACTTCACATAAGATACATATGCAATGTGTCTGACCCTTGACCTTCCCCCATGTTTAATGGTCACAGAAAAGTAGTTTTTGTTTACTTTTTGTGTGCCGCACAGGGACCTTCATACACCTAGTTAAAGTTAGAATCCAGATAAATGCTTTCTCTGAACAGATTTCCTGGGAGATATACCAAAGTCATTTTCATTCGGTGTTTTAATAGCTGATGATCTTGCCTGTCGATCAGTTTCTTTACTAGAAAACAACTGTCTCATGACTGGTTGCCGTGACAACTGACTACTTAACATTCCTCTACAGCTTACAGCTGAGAACTCAGAACTAAGTCCCTCTAATTGGCTGTCACGTAGGCTTTCAGGAGAATCAAAAAGATCTTCTGAGCCAGTGTTAACTGATATTTCACTTGCTGTATTAACATTTGATTCACTTGGACTAGGTTTATGATGCTGTTTCTGTTTCCCTGATTTCTTTTTACCTGATGAAGAAGGAATTTTAAATTGTGAACTAGAATGATGGCTCTCTGACACCTGATTTGAGAATAATGACACTGAATTATTATCCCGGCAAGATTTTTCAGATTCCGATAGAGCAGTTTGCTTGTTTGATTGCGAGTTACAAGGTGTCGTCTGCTTATGTGATTTATTGCGTTTATTTTCTAGTTGTTGGTTTCCAGATACTGAAGCTAATCTAGCAATATTTCCATCGATAATGGGGATAGTTGCTGAAATATCAGAAAGACTTGACCCTGGTACTATTGATCCAGTCACTTCACTATTCACAGAAGAGCCTTTTTTCTTTTGAGATAAAGTTTTACTTGATCCGCTACTGGAGGCTGAATGCCGCCTTTTCCTTGACTTTTGACCTTCGTCTGTTCTTAACCTTTGACCTTGGTCAGGGTTATCTCTATCTGATGCTGTGCTTGGTTCAATGTTTTCAATCTCAGCTGATGTATGTGGCGTTCTATGTCTGGAACATGTCTGACCTTTTGACCTACTTTGAAGTCTTTCTATCACACTTTCCTCTGTCATGTCAGGTAAACATCTGTCTTGGCCGCTCTTCTTTGCGCCCTTTTTCTCCTTCACCTCTTTATCCTGAAATTGAATTTCAGACTTACAGTTTCTAAATGTGTAAAAATGAAACATATTAAATAATACCTCTGAGTAAATGAAAGAGAAATAAACTTCTAACTATTTTTTTTAACTAAATAAAAACAATAGTATTTCTATATATGTAGTGAGACAGAACAAAATATTCAAACCTTAACCTTATTTATTGTATACAAGTAAATGGTCAGCTCTAAGAGAGTCATGTTGCACGTGCTATGTACAGAGCTCTAGTTTTGCAATTAGCTGTGACACATGCTCTCCACTCAACAGTTATACAGTCTAAAGTTTTGCCTTTGCCGTCCACTAAAGTATTGGAATGAACCATTACTATTTCCCATGTACTGGACTTAAGTTATAAAACAGTCTTTTTTCATACACTATTAGTTCTGTGCACTGGACTTTAGTTAACTTATGGCACAGTCTATTATTATACCCTGCAGGTTCTATGTTTTGAAAGTAAGGAACAGTCTATTTTTATACCCTATTGGTTATGTGTACTGGACTTAAGTTATGGAACAGTCTATTATCATACCTTATTGGTTTTATGTACTGGACTTGAGTTATGGAACAGTCTATTATCATATCCTATTGGTTTTATGTACTGAACTTAGTTATGGAACAGCCTATTATTATACCCTATTGGTTTTATGTAATGAACTAAAGTTATGGGACAGTATATTTTTTTTACTCTACTTTACTTTAATGCTGTAGTAGTACATCACTTTTCTTGCAATGTTATGTAATTTATATGTATAAATTTAATATATTACTCTGTCAATTAAATCCATCATAATGCATCAGCCTTTAGTTTTGAAACAACTTATTACAAGTCTTCTGCTAAAAATGGTTTTGGAAATGAAATTTTTCACACATTTATATATTGTGTTTAGATTGTTGACACTTGTGACATCGCGAGGGGCAGTACTCTAAAACTCACAAACACTTGACAGGAAAAAGTGGTCACTTGATGAAAAGATTGATCTCAATTAGCTGACTTATTAGCGAACGCTGGTCGCGTTGAGCAAGGTTTCCGCATCAAATTTTCTAAAGATTAGCAATCACAACTAACTTTGGAAGCAAATATGAGTAAGTAACTTACATACCTCCTTAAGTAGGAAATGTAAGGAATATTTCATTTCAATAAAATGTAATTCTTTGTACTTAACAAAGTTAATTTTGAATTTTCATCATTTATTTACAAAAGTTTATGGACAACGGTATTCCAAGAAGATTTTACCCAAGTTGTCATTATCTCCTCAAAAGTATGACTATCCTCATCCCCAAACCACTGTTTCATCAGTAATTTACTTAAAGCATTGTCTGTTGGAACTGACTTCACCTCTCTCAAGTTACAAGGGCGCATATCTGAAGTTGAAGGCATCACTCCATCCTGCAATATATATGCATATGTGGTAAACAAAATTTTCCCCAAAATCATAATCGTTGATGACTTAATAACAAAAGCAATCAGTGATCACATGTGTCGCCTCATGATGGCCAATTTCATGTTGAGACAAATTTTGTGACAGACGGACAGACAGACGGACAGTGCACAACTAGACTTGGTACTGATCATTCCTGTAAAGTTTGGATAAAATTGCACCAGTAGTTTATGAGGAGTAGTCCGGACAAGCTTTTGCATATCTGGCAACACACAGAAAAAAACACCTTTTTATCAAAGGCCTTTTAAGGGCCATAACTCAACCAAAAATCATTCAACCTGAAAACCCGTGCAACATGCGCAAGATCTTGAGCTATAGATCAATCCTGTATAGTTTCATTGAAATTGCATTAGTGGTATAAGAGAAGAAGTCCGGACAAACTTTAAAAATAAAAATTATTAAAGGGCCATTACTCTGACAAAAATCATTGAACCGGAAAATGCTGACAATATGCACAACTAGACTTGGTACTGATCATTCCTGTAAAGTTTGGATGAAATTGCACCAGTAGTTTATTAGGAGTAGTCTGGACATGCTTTTGTGTATATGGCAACACACAGAAAAAAAACACCTTTTTATCAAAGGGCCATAACTCGGCCAAAAATCATTTAACCGAAAAACCCGTGCAATATGCGCAAGGACTCGAGCTACAGATCAATCCTGTAAAGTTTCATTGAAATTGCATTAGTGGTATAAGAGAAGTAGTCCGGATAAAATTTAAAATTAAAAATTATTAAAGGGCCATAACTCTGACAAAAATCATTGAACCGGAAAATGCTGACAATATGCACAACTAGACTTGGTACTGATCATTTCTGTAAAGTTTGGATGAAATTGCACCAGTAGTTTATGAGGAGTAGTCCGGACAAGTTTTGTGACGGACGGACGGACAGGCAGACAGACGGACAGACGATGGAGAAGTGATCCCTATATGTCGCCACAACTCCGTAGAGGCGACACAAAAAGTGTAGGCAAAAATTGTTAAAATATTTTTATCACTATCAACAACAATGTCCTGCAAATGTTATGTCCTGCAAATGTTGTGTCTTGCAAATGTTCAGGACAAATGTAACAGTTTAGATTTAAATTCAGTACAAGTTGATGAAACAAATCTAACAGCTAAATTTTAAATTCAGTTGGAAAAAAAAAATCTGGAAACAAAGTGATCCCTCGGAAGCATTTATCACAACAAAATTACAAGAGAACTGCAGACTCTGTTTGATTGAGTCTGTATATGAGGGATATGTGCAACATCCCTCATGCCCCCTAGCACCTGCTTGAGCGGTAATCAGTTCTCAACACTTAATAGTGCTGGCATCAATGATCCTGAAGGACCAGAAAAATTGAACAACACTGAAGTGAAGTACGGGGCAACGTTTTACAGCTACAGAAGTTGATGAAACGAATCTAACAGCTAAATTTTAAATTTAGTACAAGTTGATGAAACAAATCTGAAAGCTTAATTTTAAATTCAGTTCAAGTTGATGAAACAAATATCACACTTTAAATTTTAATTCAGGACAAGTCAATTAAACAAATCTGACAGCATAATACAAAATTCAGGACAACCCAATCATTCTTAATCAAGAGTCTTGATAATGTAGAATTTTCTCAGTTCAAAAAGGGCCATAACTTTGGGAAATATATGTAAGAATCATGGGACTTGGTAAGTAACCTCCTACTATGCTCTCAAATAAGTGTATGAAGTTTCAACCTATTCCCTTCAGTAGTTTCGGAGAGACCAACTTGAGTTCCTGTGACACGAACACTGAAGCCTTGTTGAGTACAATAGCTCTTCCTAGTCAAGCAAAACACAAGCCGACTCCAGTATAAAAATATACATCATTTCACTGCTAACCTTTTGTATAGATGAAATGAAATTGTATCCATCCTCTAGCTCCACCATACATGCATTACAACATCCAGTCTCTACTGTATTATCTGCACTGCCAGGCAAATAAACCAGGTCTGGATTACAAACACAGCAGGACTTGTGGGGATCGTTGCTGTTAAATATGCCTGAAATTTATAAAAATATGTTACCAATTATGCAACCTAAGTTAACTTGGTGCATACCTTAAATCATTAAAATATATACATTGTATATTTTTTTATCATATAGTTACTTTCCAAAACAATATTTTTTGCATCAAAAAGGAGTAATAACAAGAGCTGTCAGTAGGACAGCACGCACCCTTACTTTCAGTGCTTCAGAGTGATTATTAGTAAAACAAGAGCCTGGATACTGTAAGAATTAAAGAGAGGAAGAGCACAAAAATACAAATAATCTACATGATTATAAGTCTGTGATATTGACCAAAGATTTTTGATAAGTGCATAAAGGGCCTTATTTCATTCAAAATCCATGCCAGAGTTGTGGTACTTGAAAATGAACCTAGAATTGTAATTCAAATCAAGTTTCAAGCGAATACAACCAGTACTTTTCTTTCTTGGAAGATTGATATTGCAAGCAAAATCATGTTCATGAATTGTATACATGTATAGTTTTAAGAGACTTATAGGCCTAACTTTGCTATGTGTTGTAATTTTTTAGTTGTATTTCACATATTATACTAAACAATGGTTGGGTTTACGTCACATCAAAACTGTATTGGTCATATGGAGTCTTTCCAGCTTTATTGGTGGAGACAGCCCTCAGGTGCCTTTCAATGCATTATTTCAGGCACGAACAAATGTTCTGTTAGCAAGCTGAATAGCTTCCTCACATGAAAGAATCCAAAGTCTCTGTCATGATTCAAACCCACAGCGGTGCAGGGCAAGAGATTTAAAGTCAACAACCGTAACAATTTGCAAACTGAAGAGCCATATGTTAACTCAAAACTTACCTAGTAAAGAAGTCTGTATATCTCTCATAGAAAGATCACTGGACAGTTGCCTTTTCATCATTTCTCCCCAAGATTCAATCCAGCTCTGAGCTCTTTCCACAGCAGATGGGTGTGGTTTCAGGTCATGTGATCCTATTCCTGCAGAAAATGTGATGTCTGCTGATGACTGAGAGTCTTTTGAAAAAGCTTGGTGAAAGATCTCTCCATGACTGTCCATCTAAAAACAACTTATAATTATATATAACTGCAATACAAATGAATTAGAATTGTATGTTCAGACAAAGAGGAAATTCAACTCCTTAAGTGGTTTCAAATATTTCAGTATAACAAGAGTATCACAAACTGTGTTAAGGCTCGTCTGTTCAAGGGCAACAACTACCAGTAATGAATTTTTATGAATATTCTTAGTTAAAAAGGGGGGACATAACTTAAAAGTATGGTTTTCAAAGTGATGCCCCCGTATCAAACAATTTTGCCTTGTAATGATAAACAAGTACAAGAATTTGAATTTTCATGTTGATACTTTTTATATTTTATACCTCTAACATGTTCTTTTTTTACAATTACACAGAGACTGTGTGTAAACTTTGAGCATCATGGAATATACATTATTTAAATAGGAATATACATTATTCCACATGACTAAAAAAATAAAGTATTTTTGACATTTACCTGGAATATCACATGTCCCTGTTGCCATGGCACTGTAGCAATCCCTGCTAGAGAAGTATCCAGTCGGTTGTGTAATTTATCTACATTAGGACATTTATCACAGAATTGGGGCCATTTAGATATATCTCTGAAATTATCAATATGTTATTGTCAATAAATGCTGAGTAGCTTCATGCTACTACATGAAGTGAATAAATAACATGGCCATCAAAAACAAGACAAAAATATCTTATGGAAGTGAGTTAAGCTTTATCATCAAATAAATTGTATGAGTAAACAGCAGGTTCAATTTATTTCAAAGGGAGACAAATGAAAAAAATTGTTTATCACTACATTGTCATACTTTAATCTGATCTTTGACCTCTAAGGTTTAGTGGCGGAGGAAAATCTCATTGAAGCCCTTTGTATTTATTAGTTAAAATATGATCAGCCAAATTTAGAAATATCAAGCATGCCAAAATAGGTAAACAGAGTAAAAAGTGGAAATAACTGGGTAAAACAATTACCAATATTATGTACTTCGCTTAATTCATGTACACAAATGTGTATAATATGAAGCTATTTGCACCAGTAGAACACTCAATATATGTATATTCAAATTACCAAACCAAAATGACAGATAAAGCTTTTATGTGACTTAGTTCTATCATGGCCTGTGATTAAAAAGTGTGTATAAGAGCGTGAAGTCATTGATATATACTGAAACAAAAAAGAAACTTTCTCCAAGTTTGAATGTAGATATGTAAGTACAGTTTTTCAATCCTTTTGAAACTCGATTTTTACGTTGAATAAACATATCGGGCTTTTATACGGGGATTAGCTGACCGATTTTGCAAACAAAACAAGTTTTACAAGCTACTACATGTATTTAAGTGTGTACATCTAAGTGGTACCCTTAAACAACTGGCACATACTTTGCGAAAGTTTCTTTTTTGGTTCAGTATAGATATGTCTAACCTGTCAAAGTAGCTTATCCATGTTACTGTTATAGGTCTTGAAGAGAGTCCTATTATGCTCTCAAAGAAGAGTATAAAATTTCAACTTGTTTCAAAGCCAGATGTCAATGAATAGTGTATGAAAATATCTGAGTAGGTATGCAAACTTTAACGTAAATTCTACGTCAGAAAAGGAGCATTATTCTGTCAAAATGCTTGATACAGATACCTCCTCCTGTCTACAGGTTGGGGTCATGATGGTGAACAAGTGTGCAAAGTTTCAAAGCCATATGTCAATGGACTTTGAAAATATTTGAGGTATTACAAAAAACTTTAACGTGAATTCTAAGTCGAAAAAGGGGCATAATTCTGTCAAAATGCTTGATACAGTTATTTCCTCCTGTCTACAGGTTGGGTCATGATGGTGAACAATGTGCAAAGTTTCAAAGCCATATGTCAATGGACTTTGAAAATATTTGAGGTATTACAAAAACTTTAACGTAAATTCTAAGTAAAAAAAGGGGCATAATTCTGTTAAAATGCTTGATACAGTTACCTCCTCCTCTCTTACAGGTTGGGGTTATGATGGTGAACAAGTGTGCAAAGTTTCAAAGCCATATGTCAATTGACTATGAAAATATTTGAGGTATTACAAAAACTTTAACATAAGTGGTTACGCCGATGCAGACGCCGACGCTCAGGTGACTACAATAGCTCTACTTATTCTTATGGAATAGGCGAGCTAAAAATAGCCTTTACTGTGTTAGTCAAGCAGTATATTGTTATAAATACAGCAAATCAGTCATTCAATGCATTTAACATGTATATTATTCATTGAATCTTGATTCTATTACTTTTCTTAAAATCTTAGTAGAAATTGCCCAAGTTAGATTTTTTTTGAAATACTTAGGGCCTTCTGCTGATCTGGAAGTATGCAGCTTTAAATAATAACATTAAAAAATAAAATAAAAAAAACCACATACGTTATACTTGAAGCTCTATGAGGCTGTGCAATAGACAACGGTGGTTGTCCGTTTCTCGCTGAAAACCTGAAGGCATGTACTTCTGGTGGGTACTGGCTCCCTATGTAGATAAAATTATCGTCTGCTTCACCAGAACTGTCGTCTGCTTCACTGACAACACTCATATACTGTGGTGGTGAGATTAACATGTGCTCCCATCTCAAAACCTATACAAATACAACATTTTAAAATCTCATTTGATAATAATAGAACATTGTAAAACCTTTTTCGATAATAATAGAACATTTTAATATCTCATTTGATAATAATACAACATTTTAATATCTCATTTGATAATAATACAACATTTTAAAATCTTATTTGATAATAATACAACATTTTAACCCTTTCACTGCCATAGGGACGGCTTAAGCCGTCCCTGATATTTTCGGCGTATTTGCCATATGGACGGCTTTAGCCGTTTCTATAATAATAATAGTAATAATAATAAATTAATAATAAAAATAATAATAAATATAAAGAAAATTATACAATCGACAATTATTATTATTATACTAACAGATTTGGAAACATATATAATTATTATAGTACTAATAACAAATAATAATAATTATATTAAATAATAACATAGTAATTTCTTAGAAAATCCTCTGGCAAATAGGTGAACAATAAAACAATAACCCTCTGGCAGCGAAAGGGTTAATATCTCATTTGTTAATAATACAACATTTTAAAATCTCATTTGATAATAATACAACATTTTTAAATCTCATTTGATAATAATACAACATTTTAAAATCTCATTTGATAATAATACAACATTTTAATATCTCATTTGATAATAATACAACATTTTAATATCTCATTTGATAATAATACAACATTTTAATATCTCATTTGATAATAATACAACATTTTAACATCTCATTTGATAATAATACAACATTTTAGCATCTCATTTGATAATAATACAACATTCTAATATCTCATTTGATAACACTACCAAGACTGACAACAACACAGTAAATGCTGGGTGATATATGTTCTAATGCAAATTTGTAATCATTGTACGAGTCATTTATGTATTATAATGTTGTATTTGTATATGTAATATGGTGATCAGCTTTTTATGCTTAAACCAAGAAATAAAGTTTCTGTTCTGTAAAATAATCATTCAGTTAGGGAAGAGAAACAGGCACCGAATGTGAATTCACCAATGAAAATCCTGAGATTTCAGCTTGATCTCAGGAAAAGGTTTTATAACCTTTAGGCCTGTTCATGAATTTGTACAACAAAAACCCTAAACAAACAAGAACTGTCAGTAAGAACATGCTTGATAGTAGACCTAGAACCATGAACTTGAACTATGTCCTGCCAATTTTCAAAGTTAACAGGGCCAACTGTCCTGCGAATAACATTCACCAGGTCTGTTAATATGTCTCAAATACAGCAGCAAATAATATCTAGATTTGCCCTTGGTTTTCCTTAGTGTAGGTTAAGGCATTATAAAATGATTGGTTGGGCAAGATTTTAACTTTCAAGGTTATGGTTACCTTTGATCGACTGATCAAAAAATCTACAAGGGTCATCTACTATTTGAAATTTAAAGGCCAATACTTGCCTATTTTATCATTCTGACAATTTTCTAATGGTCAAGGCTATAGTGACCTTGACCTTTGAATACAAAATAGACAGGGGACATCAGCTTGTCATGAAAAACCTGCATACCAAATTTTTTGACTGTAGTTATAAGGGTTCTCTAGTTATTGGTCAGACAAGCTTTTTATGGGCAAAACCAAGGTGACCTTGACCTTAAAATTGATAAAGATCATCTACAAGTCAAGAAAAAAACCTCATCACAAAATCTTAGAGCTGTAGGTGGAAGCGATCTGGGTTATTGGTCAGATAAGTTTTTTATGGTCAAGACGAAGGTGACCTCGACCTTTGACTAACTTACATCAGTAGCTGTCATCTACTAGTCATGAACAAACCCACACAAAATCTTAGGACCAAAGACCATTGGTGTTTCAGGGAAGATTCTTTAAAGATTTCACTATGTACATAAGCTAAGACCCACAACCATTTCAGGCAGGGTCAATGTTGACCCTAGGGCAAAATTTAAATAATCTTGGTTGAGAACCATTACCATCTTATTGGCTCAGTGACCTGCTTTTGAAACTCACTGGAACCACTTTAAGGGCCACTGAAAGGATTATTAAAGTTTTGTTAATATCCATTCATTGGCTTCAGAGGTGATGTTGCTTCAAAAAATAATTGATGACAAACAACAACCAACTGAGAGGAATCCAAAAGCTTTAGTGAGCTTAAAATCTACAATTTTAACAAAGCCGTGAAATAACACTTATGAAAAGATAGAAGCAAAATCCCAAATTCTGTTTTAATACTATAGCTAAGGAACAAATTCAAGATAGTAACCGGATATTTCTGGTATCTTTCATCCATGATGAGAAGCTTGTAGTCGGTGGCAACCAGATGGTAGAATGACGATGCAGAATGCCGACTAACAGCTCGTATACGCTCTCTGTTATATAATATATCGCTTGGCAGGGAGAAAAGATCCACTCCTTGCTGTCCTTTCATCTGAAATATACACAAACAAGTAAACAACCATGTCTAAATAAACAACAATTAACACATAATTTTTCTTCGATAATATTTTCAATCAGGGAGAGGATATCCCCACTCCTCTTATTTGTTGTTCATCCTCTTTGATTTTTGACAATAACAAGTAGCAGGAAGTCAATGATTCATTATTTATAGGGCTGATGACAAATGTTTCACTAAAAAGTTATGTAAGACTGTATTTTTTCACTTAATGCTAAAGTTAAAATAATTAAACCAGGCACAAGTGGACACCCTGGCAGAACACAGACCTTCTGTAAGCTAAAGGGAAAACCTTCTCACATGGAAGAATCCAAGAACCCTGATGGGATTCAAACCAAGGGCACTGAGTGAGAAGCGGGCAATCTGAAGTCAGAGACTTAAACAACTCAGCCTCGAAGACCCATCAGTAGATTTTTAACCCACAATCAGGGAGAGGATATCCCCACTCCTATACCTACATAGATATTTTACATACCCTCAGATCAAACATCTGTACAGCAGTTTGATCTGCATAAACCACATGTCTTGGATGACTTCCATACTGAACATGCCTCCAGCTATCATTTACATGAAAACGAGGCTCTCCGTGTGCACAAATGGTGTCTAAACTTCCTGTAGACCATAGATAACACTGACCGTCATCATCTACAAGCACACATTCACCGGGGATATATGGACTGAAATATAGTAAAAGCTCACATTTAAGACTGAAATATAGTTAAAGCAAACATTTCAGACTAAAATATAGTAAAAGCACACATTTATCAAGACAAGAGCGATCAGTAATCACATGTGTCGCCTCATGATGGCCAATTTCATGTTGGGACAAATTTTAAGACAGACAGACAGACAGACGGACAGTGCACAACTACACTTGGTACTGATCATTCCTGTAAAGTTTGGATAAAATTGCACCAGTAGTTTCTGAGGAGTAATCCGGACAAGCTTTTGTGTATCTGGCAACACACAGAAAAAAAGACCTTTTTATCAAAGGGCCATAACTCGGCCAAAAATCATTCAACCGGAAAACCCGTGCAATATGCGCAAGGACTTGAGCTACAGATCAATCCTGTAAAGTTTCATTGAAATTGCATAAGTGGTATAAGAGAAGTAGTCCGGACAAACTTTAAAAAAATAAAAATTATTAAAGGGCCATAACTCTTGACAAAAATCATTGAACCGGAAAATGCTGACAATATGCACAACTACACTTGGTACTGATAATTCCTGTAAAGTTTGGATGAAATTGCACCAGTAGTTTATGAGGAGTAGTCCAGACAAGCTTTTGTGTATCTGGCAACGACAGAAAAAAACACCTTTTTGTCAAAGGGCCATAACTCGGCCAAAAATCATTCAACCGGAAAACCCGTGCAATATGCGCAAGGACTACAGATCAATCCTGTAAAGTTTCATTGAAATTGCGTTAGTGGTATAAGAGAAGTAGTCCGGACAAACTTTAAAATTAAAAATCATTAAAGGGCCATAACTCTGACAAAAATCACTAAACCGGAAAATGCTGACAATATGCACAACTACACTTGGTACTGATCATTCCTGTAAAGTTTGGATGAAATTGCACCAGTAGTTTATGAGCAGTAGTCCAGACAAGTTTTGTGACGGACAGACGGACAGACAGACGGACAGACAGACGACAGAGAAGTGATCCCTATATGTCGCCACTACTCCGTAGAGGCGACACAAAAATACTGTAATGATTATGTAGTATGAGCATAAATTCACCAGGGATATATGGACTGAAATATAGAACCAGTAAACATTCACCATGGAGATACAATGTATATACATGTAGACTGAAATATAGTACAAGCACACATTTACCAGGGATATATGGACTGAAATATAGTATAAGCATACATTTACCAGGGATATATGGACTGAAATATAGTATAAGCATACATTCACCAGGGATATATGGACTGAAATATAGTAGAAGGAAACATTCACCAGGTATATATGGACTGATATATAGTAAGAAACAATCACCAGGTATATATGGACTGATATATAGTAAGAAACAATCACCAGGTATATATGGACTGATATATAGTACAAGCACACATTTACCAGGGATATATGGACTGAAATATAGTACAAGCACACATTCACCAAGGATTTATCAGCTGAAATATATTACCAAGACATATTTGTCAAGGAATTAAGGACAGAAATATAGTATGGTTACAAGCACACATTTACCAGGGAAATATGAATAAATTCCCTGCATTAATGAAATATGAAGCAAACATGAAACAGAGACTTAAAATTTTAACAGAATAATTCTTCAAATAATTATGACAACCTGTCTTTTCTGCAATAAAAATACTTTAATAATTAATTTAATTTCAATTGTGATCAATATATACTGTAGGCTTAAAGGATATTTCTATACACAAATTAAAATAGCTTTTACCATTCATACAATGCACCACAGTGTGGGTAAATTATCATTTAAACACCAACACTTGGGTAACTAGGATAGCTCTTCTTATTCTTATCAAATAGACTAGCTAAAAACAAACAACGAAAGTTATACATGAGCCATCAACTTTAGGTTCATGCAGTGCATCATTTGTTTACAATTTGTAAAAGCACATCAGACAAATAGCAAAACAGCTCAAATTGTGCAATGACATCAATTCTGAAGAAAGAACAGAATAAACTTAATTTGATTTTCAATCATTGGTCGTCTAGCACTTTATTAGGAGTAATTAGCAAGAAAATAACAAAGTGATGCTTTTCCTTACATTCAAGTAAACAAAATACCCCCTACTCAGGTACACAGGATACCAAAACCCCTGCTAAGTACCCATATCTAAAGACAGTTCAACAGTATGATGTGATTTATATGAACAAGAGAACTGTGTGTGGTACTTATGCATTCGCGCAGTCAGATCAGGATTACCAACCCTATTACAAGTAGAGAAACTGATAGCGAACAGCATGGATCCTGATCAGACAGCGCAGATGTGCAGGCTGGTCTGGATCCATGCTGGTCACAAACGCACTATGTTGATTTTTTCGTGATGCGGCTCATTTATGCCTCCCAAATGTTCTTACTTTTATTCTTTAAAAGCTTTTTAATGTTTGGTGTTCTGTTGTATTTTTTCACAAAAAAATTCATTGGCCAAGTACCTGAACCAATTTTTTTTTTATCTACTGCTGTTTGGCAGTTAGTACAATTATAGGGAGTTATATTTGTTTATATTTTACTACTTATAAAACAAACTATTTCACATTTATTTCTATGTTCTTCATAGCATTTTTTTTAAATGTTTTCAAATTCATGTTTGCGCTTTCTAAAGAAGTAAAAATGTATTCATTTCAGAGTAATGATGTGCCTCTTATATTTTTTTTTAATGGATTTTAAGAATATGGTATGTGTTTAAAGCGTAAAATAATGATTAAGTATTATTTCAATTTATATAACCCACCTGATATCAATTGACTGAATGCGTCGATTTGAACATTCATGTACAACAGATAGTTTTCCCTCCGGAGAGTCGGGAGTGAATTTGTACAAGAAACATTGATCGTCGGTCAGCGTAGTGATAAATTCTGGAAAAGAAAAACAACATTGAAATAAACATATTTTGAAGCATTGACACAGGCATTAAATTCTATATCTCTCTAACACATGAATTATAGGGTTGATATAATTTAAATGACCAATGTTATGAATAAAATATAACGAAATCCGAAATAAAGTAACATAAACAGGAAATTTCATATAAAATATAAATATGATAATTAAATGTGAAAGTAAAGATATAACTAGAACTCCTATGAAGTTTCAAGTCCATAGCTTTTTTAGTTGAAGAAAAATGGCCCGGACAAAATTAAAGTATGAAAATTAATAAAGGGCAATAACTCAAAAAATAAGAACTGCAGAGTACCGGTCCTTGTGCACTGCACTTCGGGATATTGAAAGAAGCATGCATACCAAGTTTGAAGTCAATCAGACTTATAGTGACTGAGTTATGCTCCGGACAAGCTTTAGGGGACGCAGACGCCGACAAAGACGCTGCCGCCGACAAAAGTAACCCCTATATGTCACCTTTTCAAGGCGACACAAAAACAAGCTGGCTTACGTTCTTGTTGCACTTTCCTGCTTTTGATTCCATAGATGGTATCTTGAAGGCGGATCTCCTCTGTACTATATGACCGCAAAATTCCTTTTGTTTTCTTTGATACAAATGTCAAACCTATTTTTTTGTTAAGGTCTTAACTATGCATGTACTTAAATATGTTTTTTTTAAAACTTTTAAAGAGCTTTTGAATTTCCTGACAGTACTAACTGGAGTCCAAGCCTAAACTATGCTATTCTTAGATTATACAAAATTAATTCTAGTTTGATTGTGTAGAAAGCTATAAGCTGATAGACACACACTTTCAAATCCATTCCTGGAACCAACCAGCACTAAGCAATGAATGTAAAGTTTCTTGCTCAAGGTAACAAAGATTTGTCCAAGAAGAGATTTGAACCCATGAGGCTAACGAACATTAGATTACTAGTTTGATGTGTCTGATGCTTTTCTTGCTATACATATTACAGCATTAGCAGGATGTAAGAGTTCAAAGGTAACACAGACTACTTATCTTACATGACTTCTAAAACAGCGATAAGAGGCATATGGCCATTTTATTAGACTAATGTTCAAGATAAACTTCAAGGAAATTTCATCTTGTGTAAGGATCAAACCAGCGAACTCTGGATTTAAATCTGATGTTAAGTGGACTGATGAAACTGAAGCAAATATGGCAGGCTTTAAAATGCACAATAAACCAAAATATGCAAGGTAACCTTTCACAGGCATGTAAGAAAGACTTTTCCCAGCATATTATGTGAAATACACTGCACAATTATACCTGAAAATCATAAGAGAAAGCAACCTAGACATTCATAGATAAAAATTACCAGATTTCACAAAAAAATAAAAGATTTTCACATGAACATAAACCATTTTCCCATAAATATAGAAGATTTTCACATGAAATACCCAATTTTCCCATCAATATACCAGATTTTCACAAAAATATCAAATTTTCCCATCAATTTACCAAATTTTCACCACATCATACCTGTCAGAATTCCATATCAGCATACCAGATTTTCACAAAAACATACCAAATTTTCACGTGAAAAAGACTAGTTTTTCACAGCATCACATCATCATACCCAATTTTCACATCAACATACCTGATTTTCACATGAACATACCCGATTTTTACATCAACATACCAAATTTTTGCATCAACACACCAAATTTTCACATCAACATACCTGATTTTCACATCAACATACCTGATTTTCACATCAACATATCAAGTTTTCACATCAAACATAACTGATTTTCACATCAACATACCAGATTTTCACATCAACATACCAAATTTTCACATCAACATATCCGATTTTCAAATTGAAATACTATATTTTCACAACCATAGCAGTACATGCTATCATTCAATAAATTAATCCTTCAATGTTAAAAGGATACGTAATTGATCAAAGTTTTCACCAGCAGCAGATGCGATATAACAATGTGAATCATCTACACTTAAAGTATCAATACATCCTCCGGCATACTTGTAATTGTGATACTGCAATATATATACATGATATTGAATGAGTGTAGGTTTTTTGTTTGTTTACGTTTTATGTAACACCAACACAGAATAGGTCATAAAGTAGCAGAGGAAGTAGCTAAAGTAGCAGAGGAAGATCTCAGAAGCCCCTGTATACATTATTTCATTCTTTTTATAAAGACTTTTAAAGAGTGCAATTAAAAAGTATCATTACAAGTTTAATATGATATCAAATATTTAAGTCTAGTTAGAAAAACTTAGTTTTATCAGTTATCTTATTATTTTTTAAGTTCATTTATGTTATTGCTAATAGAAATCAAGCTTAATTTTGTTAACATCTTCATTGATAGTTGATCTTATCATTATTGTGATTTATATGTCATTAAGCATGACCCTTGATTGAAAATAAAAGTTGTTCTATTCTATAACTTAATGTTTCTAATTACTAATAGCAAACATCTAATAATACAGTTTGGTCATATTATCAAGAGAAGCAGAACATGACTTTTCTGTACTGGTGACATTTACACATAATAAGGACACAAATACTAATAACTTACCTGTGGAATATATCCCTCTATCTCCGAATACTCTGTGTACATTTCTGTAAACCACTTCGGCACATTTTCTCCTAGAATGTCATGAATGGAAACATTGTGGTAATCTGGTTGATGGAATTCAAGGCTATTTATACACTGTTGAGTCGTTGACAATATTGTCTTAGCGTCGTCAATCTTACCATATTTCTGAAAATATTGTTCAAATATCAAATTGACATGGGAATGTTATACTTAAAAATTGATTTGTAATTCTGAAAGATTCATCTTCTAATATTGCACAGTTTGGTTGATAAAATGCTTTGCCTGTAATTTTGAATAAATCATACCATGGTAAATACAAATTAATATATATATGCACCTATATTATGAAAAAAACACACTAAAAATCTAAAATACATGATTTAATTCTTACACAATCATCAGAACAATAAACTGTGATGTATACAAATTTAATAGGCTTTGGCATCTTCTGTACTTAGCATTTGACACTGCCTGTTTCAATGTTTATATTATAAATGACAATTATATATTTTTTTAATTAATTTCAAAGTAAAGGAGCATAAAAATGTATCAGAAGATAAGTTTGCCCTGCATGGGATTTACACTCACAACCACAGTTTTTCCTGTGTTTTTTTGTTTGTTTTTTTTTCAAATTGTGATATACATGTAAAACCATAGCAGATTCTGTCTCACTTATATGATAAAATAGATTGGAAAAAACAAACAAACAAACAAACAAACTGGCCTTAAAACATTCACTTTAGATACATATAAATATATAAAAACTTCAACTTACTTTACCATGGCTGAACATTTTTTGAACTCTTTGTAAAAAGTTCTTCAACTTCTTATTTTTCTCGATGTTATGTCCAATAATTTTGTCTTTCACAGGAAGTGTAACTGTAAGTAGAAAACCCTGTTGATTTATTTAAGTATGAACTCCTCTGTGAGTGGTTAAGCTATAACCAGTACAAAATGTTCTTTTTAAACACAGGTACCTGTTTATTGACATGAAAGTAAGGGTTATTTTTGCACATTATTTCAAGTTATTCAAACTTTCCTCATGGCATTTTTAATTTTCATCTAAGGTAACTCAAATTTAAACCACATGTTAAACAACAGTTTAGCCAATGAAAACAACAGAATTGGCCAAGGATCAATGGGGATATTTAAATCTACAGGCAGAAAATACAACCAATTTTAACAGCATTTCATCAGAATATGGATTGCCAATCTGTTAAAGGCACATTATTCATCAGATATCCTTATTTCTTTATTCTTTAGAAATACCTAACATGTGTTTAATAATGATTTTATAATGGATTAAGAACATGCAAGATATTCAACAATTGAAAAGTATTGCTGAACATGCAGAGATGCGTTGTAAAGGTAGCAAAATGTAAACAAAGATGAATGTTGACTTCCAAACAAATTACTTATTCACTTCAATACACTGTATACCATTTGCCAAAAGACCAAAACAAAAGCAAAAGATAGTTTATGTATATGACAAATGTCTATATTTTTGGAAACATTTTTAAAGTTTTTGGAAAATGGAAATTATAGCATTTCGAAGGCATTATGGACCTTTAATAAAGAAAACCCTGAATTCAACATGTTCATTTTTCAACGAACTCTTCCATATGCCAAATAAACAGATCCTCAATTGCAAACAATGAATCCCCTAAGAAAGATTCAAATCTATTGCAGCAATGACCATTAAGTACACAAACATTACCTATAATACAAAAAATTAATTCCCAATTCATGTACCAGTATTTGATGAGTAAAACAGTGAGTAAAGCACTAATTAAATGGCTACTAAAATGCATTGCTTATTTCAGTCCTGCAAATAGACATACCTTCCTCAGCTGTTTCAGAAAGAGGTAAAACTGGGTGATCTGCAGCATACTTGGTGAGATTCTCTCCCTTTGATCTCTGACTCAAAATTTCACCATCTTTTCCTACGTCTATCATAATGGTCTTCCCATAGTCAATAAACAATTGCCGCCTATTTCCCCCTCTACCATGATGGCTATATTGTAACTGGTAAGGAAAGTTAAACTGAGGCTCAATGGGATCACTTTCCATGCTTTGTTCTGAAATATATGATGTTATACGACATGACATTGTATGCTGGGACATAATATAATGGGAAAAGCAACTGTCAGTATCAACACGCTAACTTTTCCTCCATTCAGGCAGACCCGCCACCATTTGTAAACAGTGTAAATAAGAGAAATATAGATCATATTGCATAAGATTTAAACAATACTTAGGAAATAGATCTTAATTTTGAGTGATCTGTGTTATAATATAACACGGTATGGAGTTCAGATGTGCTGTAATATAATCACAAAGGCTGTAGTATTTTTTCAAGTGAATTACAGAGTATTTATTGTGAAATAAAAGTGATATTTCACTGTTTTGCAACATTGAAATAGGGTTCTTTATTGACGGTTTTAGCATTTGCTGTTTTGCACTGCATTGTGATGTCACATTAACAACACTTTAAACTTCTGTGCAGCATTAATCACTAAATTATTGGTGTGCAGATTTTTTTTCTGAGTTAGACCTTTTTTACCATTCAACATATTTTCAAAATGTTGTTTTTTTTTTATCAAAATGACGCCGCCAATGTGTTGGTTTGCATGAAATACTGAATGATTCCTTTTATATGGAAAAATAAACATTTTTTTTAACCCACTTCACTGTTCATAGGCTTTGCCTAATTTCATATTAAACTTCTTGTGGGAACAATGTCATTTAAAGCATGTGACATGGGGGGATAAGGCAGGTTTTTTAAGCATTGTTGTAAACATATGCAAGAAAAGGATTGGGCCCACACTCATAGTGAGCTCGAAGAGCTGGCCCGAAGGGCGAGCTTTACGGTAACGCGAGTAGCGCTAGATAGTGATGGTTTTGAAAACTTTCATCCAATACCGAATTGACACATCGCAACTTTTCGAATTACAAAATAACGATAAAAGCCAAGGTATTCTGATTGAAAATGGAAGCGCAGACTGGTGTCCTGCGCACTTATATGGGAACCATAATACGACAGGAAACCAGAATAAACAGAAGCAGTGCTAATAAAATACCGAATGACAATTTTAAACAGAAAATGTAAAATATAATTGAACGATTATTTTTTACTATTTCACGGTAAAAGAAAATCGAGCTTGCTGCGAGGCTTTGCCTTTTTTTATATTAGTGTCCGACGTTAACAGTGCATGGATATTATATACAGCTGATTAAGGGATGAAAATTCCTTCCATACGGAAGGGGGCATACAGTTATGTCCTGAAATAGCTGGCCTTATAACATTGTCTGTTTAAAGATATTTGCAAGGACATCCGACATAATAAGAAGTAACAGTATGTCACAGATTTTAGACAGGGATATGTATCTAGATTTGACCAGAAATTTTGACACAAAATCAACACAATTTTTTTAATTAATATGGCTGTAAAAACACTGTGTTTTGAATAAAATAGTATTTTTTATTTATTTTTTTTATTTATTTGGCTGCTCACCTCAACAGTGTGCTACTTTTACTTAACAGTTCTTTTGAGTTTCATGCTGCATGGGCGCAGACATTTTGTTTGCGGGACCAGCAGTTAATCAAAATTAAACAAACACAAACAAAAAAACTTTTCGTTTATATAGTCTTTTACATGGAAACTGATAAAACTTATTTCAAATTTCTTACTTTACTTTCAGCACAATTACGTGATTTTAGTACAACATTTGCATTATTCTAACAAAAAAAGATAATTATAGATTTTATATATAATAGCTTATCCCCAAAATGCTGAGAACAACAACAACATGAAAGTTAAGCTGAAAAGTATGAAAAACGCGTACTTTCTTTATCAAATCGTCTAAAAGCTTAATTGTATTATAAGTAAAATGTTTTGTTTCGATTTTACGACAAAAATATTTCTTGTTTGACATTGAAGAATTCAAGAAGATTAAGGGGAGTTACTGTGTATTAATTTCGGTTAGTTCTCAATTCGGATAAAAATAGATTTATTATGCTAAAATCGCAATTGTTTAACTGTACTACTGGACGCCAGTGTTACCATAAATTGATCAGAACGTATGTGTTTAGATGAAAGACACTGTGGTCTTGCTTTTTTTAAAACTACATGTACATTCATTGGGTTATTAATCGTAATTTGTAAGACTAAATATTCAGTTACAAGAAATGATAGATATTGTCACATCAGTAAGGTTATTACTTCAAAATAATGTCACATTGATTTTATTATCTTATATTTAGTAGACATTGATAAACCTTGATAACATGTTATTCTTTAGAAGCAAAGTATATGTAATTGTTTTCATATAGATGTCATTAAACAAATTGCAAACATATTATTTGTTTTTACTTTCATATCTGTTCCTGTCTGATTGTGCATTGCTGACATTTAAAAGGGTAAGATTTGTTTGTTTGTTTTTACACTGATTTAAACACATTGTCACAATTGTATGTTGTATCCCTGGGGTCAGTTTACCTTACCAGCATTCCTTGCTAACTACTTTTGTAGCCATGAATTACCAAGATTGATGAAAATTTTATGGTTGATTTTTATTTTTATTGAATTTTAAAAGAAGTATCTATTTATAATTAGTAAGAAAATGTTGAACTTTTCTATTACATAACAAGTATTTTATGTAATTTCTTATTATTACATGCACCGGAATATACTGGCTCAGTATATCATACTTAGTGCTGGAAAATGCAAAACAGCCTTTTTCAGCTGTTAAGTAAAAAACAACCACATAACCATATCTACAATGAATGTCACAAGGTTAATTAATTAGAGGTTAATACTTGGTTGCTGCTCGGCATTATGCGATAATGGCCCGAAGATGTGCATAATGGCCTGAGGGCCGCAGGCCCGAAGGACATTATGCAATTTATGGACTCGAGGGCCATTATCGCATAATGCCGAGCAGCAACCAAGTATTAACGTCTTTAATACCTATGTCCGAAATACGGCATTTAGACATCGCCGCTTATCTTGGTTGTCACCCTTCCTAAGAAACAGACAGTTGTCAATGTAAACAAACATGTCATTAAGTTTAACCCTCACATGACAAAACAAAATAAATATGAGACAATGTTGATATCTATAAATACTCTATATATATTTGTGAGAATAACATTTAGTGCCAGTTTTTTATGAACATTTGTGCCTTCAAGAACGTTTTCCGAGACTGATGTCTATTTGCCATCGAATGATCAATAGGATCTTTTTTTCTACCGTCAAATTGAAATCATTTTTGAAGTTCTGAGGGTCATGTCTTGTCTTGGGTAGAGTTATTGTATTCTTTTCTAGAGTCTATAAATCTTCTATGTTAAACTTTGTTGATTGAGATTGATAACGTTATTTAAACTTTGTGTTCAAATATAACTACAGTTCATTCAACGTCAGTATAGCCATCTTGAAAGTCACTGAGAGTTGATTACGTCATTTTGTATGTGCGCTCATTCACTGGCACATTATGGAAAAATAATGCCGAGTAGCAAGGCGGCCGAAATTGCATAATGACCTAGATCTTGCCATAATGGCCCTGAAAAACCTTAGATTTTGTTACTATATATAGTAACATAGGTATTAATGTGCATAAAATAGGCAAACTGCTTGCTGGTAAAATCTTTTTTTATTGAATGAAAAGATATACATGAAAATAGCCTACCGGGTGTAATTATGTCAACTTTTTAAGGTCACCCTTGTTAAATGTCAAGTTCACCCAAAAGAAATTTTATGGTTGTGCCTGGAAAATGGTTTTCTTTGTTGTTTTATTAAATGAGTTACACTTTTCTGTACCAAGTTCACAGAATATTGTAAAATTTTACCGCATCGAATATGTGCATATTATAGTTTGGTGAAGTTTTATGAAGACTGTGTGTACTCTATTTATTTAGCATAACAATAGAAGAAAAAGAATTAACTTTAATATTTTCAATTCTTAATAAGCTTAGCTTTCAGATTTCCACTGTACGATAAAATGTGAATTTTCATAATTGTTCTTTTAGTTGGACTGCTGTAGCTACATGGCGATGGGTTGCTAATGACGACAATTGCGGAATCTGTCGTATGGCCTTTGATGGTTGCTGTCCTGACTGTAAACTACCTGGTGATGATTGTCCTTTAGGTATGTAGTGCAAATTTTCCATATTACATTCATCTTGGACAAAATATAATGGGACTGGCGACTAAAGATTAGCGCCGCAATGCCCGCGTTATCTTTTCATCCTATCAGGCGCACTTGTTCCCATTTTGTCTTGTTGATCTGTGTAAAAAGGTTTTTTTTTGGCCATAGTAAACCATGTTAACAAGACAAATAAAAGCTAACTGGCCCAGTGATTAAGGTCATTGATTACAAAACCACTTACCTATCAGTGCTGTGCGTTTAAAACCTGCCAGGATTCTCTAATGTGAAGAAACTATCCAGTTAGCTGGCTTCGTTGTTTCTACTCAGATGCTCGTCCATGCCTGACTGTGAGGTCTTCCTCCACCATTTTAGCTTGTTAGTTGCCATATAAACTCTACAGTATTGGTCTGATGTAAAACCAAACCAATAATGATAATAATAATAATTAGATGTACAAATGTTTTGGAAATAGAAATTCTCAGTGCAGTGTTCTTGAAGCAATATTCTTATTTACATTAGTGAAAATTTGAATAAATTGTGTGACATTTTTGGGTATTGAATGATTGAAAAATATTTAAGTCAAAAAATAATTTATACATACATTGTATAATGTTCCATATTTTTATTTTCAGTTTGGGGTGAATGTTCACACTGTTTTCACATACACTGTATTGTCAAGTGGCTCAACTCTCAACAAGTTCATCAACTCTGTCCTATGTGCAGACAAGACTGGAAATTCAAGGAGTGAATTCATATATACCTGTTCTTAAAACGTTCTTAATTTGTAAAGGAACTTGTAAACATTTGAAGGATTGTCTGTCATTTTTAGACAAAATAAGGAATTCTTTAGTTGATGAATTGATTTTGAATTAATAGTGGTCATAGATATCACAGACTGTAGAAATATTGTCATATTTTTTGTGATTTTTCATTTGATATAATACTGACATTTGCTTAGGTTGTGAGGGCCAATTCATATACTCATCTCTTGAATTCTGTTTTGCTTTTTATTTTGTTTCTCAAGATATAAGGGAAAAAGCAAACAAAAAAGCATGCTGTTACAAAAATTATGTTTCAAATACCCTGCTCTTAGATTTAGTCATAAAGTTGAAAAAACTTTGAGCAGGTTATTTAGTGTTAGTTATACTTCATCAATGGAGGACACGCTTCTGAAGGACTATGATGATCAGCAGGTACAATTGATGAAAGAGCCATGCATTCTTGTGAATGATCATGATGAAGTTATTGGAACAGCTTCAAAGAAATCATGTCATCTTCTGAGTAATATAAATAATGGAATGTTACATAGAGCTTTTAGCGTCTTTCTTTTCAGTAGCAAGAATGAACTTCTTCTTCAACAGCGGTCTGACGCAAAGATTACATTCCCGGGTCTTTTTACAAACACCTGTTGTAGTCATCCATTAAATGTTGATTTAGAGATGGAGGAAAAGAATGCAATGGGAGTCAAACGTGCGGCACAGCGTAAACTTTTCCACGAGCTTGGCATCACTCCCGAGCAAATCCCGTTAGATACTTTTAAATACCTGACTCGCATCCGATACAAGGCAGTTAATATACCGGACGACAAGAAATTTGGAGAAAATGAAATAGATTATGTTTTGATCATTTGTAAGGACGTTGATTTAAGCATAAATACCAACGAGGTGAAGAGTATCCAATACGTTACGAAGGAGGAGCTCAAAGAGCTTATAAAATCATGTGAGATGGGGAATGTAGTGTTGACACCATGGTTTAAGCTGATTTGTGAACATTTTTTGTTTCAGTGGTGGGATAACCTAGATAATTTGAAGAAGCTAGAAGATCATAAGAATATACATGACTTTACAGATAAAGTTTGATGTGAATTTACTTACGTCTAATCAGTATATGTCACACCTTTATATGGTCATCATAGGAGTAACAATGGAGGCAAAATTTTGATCATTATTATTTATCTTTATATTATATCATCTAATTTTTGTAAGGATATATATGTACAATATATTTCAAGGAATATAAATGAATATACTGTGCAAAATAGAAATAAAACATGTGTTTGAATATCTTTTTTCTTGATGTGTAGTTTGATACAAAAAGTAAGACATGCATGGTTATTTATTTAGTTTGATAACTTTAACATGAAAAGACCAAACATCTCTACGTATCTAAGTCCTGTATTCCTTGTCCAAATGATTCTTGAAATGGTATAAACTATGGTTTATGTAATTTAATTGAGTTTGTAAAAACATTGCGAAAGACCAGTATAAGTCCTTTAAAGATCATTAGATCAGTAATATGATTTTTATATCCCCGAAATGAAGTTGGGGTGGGGGGTATATAGGAGTCACTCAGTGGTCGGTTGGTCAGTCGGTCGGTCCAGCTGTCCATTGCATTTTCCTTGTCCGGAGCATAATTTGAAAACTAATGGTTGGAATTCAATACTACTTCATACAATGGTCAAGCACATTGAGAGGAAGTGCAGTGCACAAGAACCATAACTCAATCTTGACTAATTACAAAGTTATTGCCCTTTGTTACTTTTCCTTGTCCGGAGCATAACTTGAAAACCAACTGTTGGAATTCAAAACAACTTCATACAATGGTCAAGCACAATAAGAGGAAATGCAGTGCACAAGAACCATAACTCTAAAGTATTTACAGAGTTATTGACCTTTATTACTTTTCCATTGCTTTTTTTGTCTGGAGCATAACTTGAAGACTTATGGTTGGAATTCAATACAACTTCATACAATAATTAAGGACATTGAGAGGAAGTGCAGTGCACAAGAACCATAACTCAATCTTGACTAATTACAAAGTTATTGCCCTTTGTTACTTTTCCTTGTCCGGAGCATAACTTGAAAACTACTGGTTGGAATTCAATACACCATCATACAATGGTCAAGCACATTAAGAGGAAGTGTATTGCACAAGAACAATAACACCATTTTGACAAATTACAGAGTTATTGCCCTTTGATACTTTTCCTTGTCCGGAGCATAACTTGAAAAGTACTGGTTGGAATTCAAAACAACTTCATACAATGGTCAAGCACAATAAGAGGAAGTGCAGTATACAAGAACCATAACTCTGTCCAGAGTAATTATAGAGTAATTGCCCTTTGTTACTTTTCCATTGCTTTTTTCTTGTCCAGAGCATAACTTGAAAACTACTAGTTGGAATTCATTACAATTTCATACAATGGTCAAGTAAATTGAGAGAAAGCGCAGTGCACAGAAACCATAACTCTTTCTTGACTCATTTAAGAGTTTTTGCCCTTTGTTACTTTTTATTTTCCAGTGCTTAACTTGAAAATTAATGGTTGGAATTCAAAGAATGACCATACAATGGTCAAGGGCAGTGATATGAAGTGCAGTGAACAAGAACCATATCTCTATCTGGACTAATTACAGTTATTGCCCTTTGTTACTTTTTTTATCCAGTGCATAACTTGAAAACTAGTAGTTGGAATTCAATACAACTTCATACAATGGTCAAGCGCAATGAGGGGAAGTGCAGTGTACAATAACCATAGCTCCATCTTCAGTATTTGTAGAATTATTGCCCTTTGTTCCTTGTCAGGTGCATAACTTAAAAACTAATTAATTAAATGAATTAAATGAAACTTCATTCAATGGTCAAGCGCAATTAGAGGAAGTGCAGTGCTCAAGAAGCGTAACTCTTTTTTTTTTAACTTATTACAGAGTAATTCAATAAAGCTTCATTAATGGTCAACCACATTGAAAGGAAATGCAACATACTAGAACCACAACTATCTTTAATAGCCCACAACCATAACTCTATTTCAGTTCTTTTGCAAGGTATTCTATTACTAGTAACTTCCTCATTTCCGAAGCAGTCTTGCGGGGGTATTAATCACATTTAGTGATAGTTCTATTTTTTTATGCTCCCCGAAGGGAGAGCATATAGTCGCCACCTTGTCCGTCTGTCCGTACGAACCCAGAGGTACTTGTGTGACTTGGAGAACAATGGGTAACAGTAAATTCTCTTTGATCCTATTCATTCCGTTTTTACTTGTGTGTCTTTTTTTAAGCCTTGTGTGACTAAAAATGGCCAAAAAGATCAAAGGAAAAGTCACAGAAGTACCATTTTGTGGGTACGTCCGTCTGTTGTCTTGTTTTGAGCATAACTTGAAAACCCTTGGAGATAATTTGTTTAAACTTCATACAGTGGTAGAGGGCATTGAGGGGGAGTGCAGTGTCAAAGAACCATAACTCTATTTTGCCCGGTTTTTGAATTATCTCCCCTTTTAGAAATATCTTGTCCGGGACAAAGCTTCTTGAGTTGGGGCGCGGGTATTTTATTACACATGTGCATATTAAGCATGTGCTTCTGGCGACGTACATACATGTATCTAGAAATGATTTACAATCTATGGCTTGAAATCGACAATTCAAGCTGTATCCACTAATTTTTGTATACTGTCCACCGAAATATCCTCCGTCTTGAATGCAATGAAAGCATATGCACTCTTGGATATTTCAACGTTTTTTAATGGTGTGATAACACTAAAAGATTGACTTTATGACAAAATTTTATATGGCTTTTGGAGTTGCAGTAATTGAAGAATGGACAAATTCCTTTGGCATGTTTAGTTTAAACATTCAAGTGTTCCGTGGTATACTTCTTTTCTTCTCGACATACCACCATTTATCAGAAGAATAAACAATTACTAGATTGGTGAATGTCGGCAGAGGATGACCTGTGCATGTGAAATGAGAGGGTGTACCGTTTTAGTAGATTTCGCAAAGGGTACTGAGAATGAAAGAAATATGGTTGTTTGAGCGAAGCCAATGGTGCAACTCTACTTAAAATTATAAAATAGCATCATTTGAGCCGCGCCATGACAAAACCAACATAATGGGTTGGCGACCAGCATGAATCCAGACCAGACTGTGCGGATGAGGATCCATGCTGTTCGCTATCAGTTTCTCTACTTGTTATAGGGTTTGTAAGCGAACAGCATGGATCCTGATCAGACTGCGCGGATGCGCAGGCTGGTCTGGATCCAAGCTGGTCTTAAACCCACTATGTTAGTTTTGTCGTGACGCGGCTCATTTTATTTTATAGCAAAATTAAGCAGAATGTATACAAATTAGTATTTTGACTACCATACAAAAGTACGAATTCACTATAATTGTACCAATTGCCAACATAACTAAATCAGTAAAAGATTTATGCATATGGTAAATGAGTATTTTTTTTGGAAATTGTAACAAGATACAAAAAAATAAAAAAAAGTTTTTGAGAAATAAAAATGATAGCATTTCTGAGGCATAATGGGCCTTTAAAGTTATCTACTTTAACGGAGGTTCTTGAGAAACATATTTTAAACCAACTACAATATAGTACATACACTCGCGTAACAGTACTGCATCTTTACACTCAAAGTCACAACCGACAGAGGGAGCATTCAAGTACTGGCAAGTCCCAATACCAACCACGGTCCACGGAGAAGAGACTGATTATCTTGACATTGAGTTAAATGTCTTCAGTGGCCAACAAGTGACATCGGATAAAGATATGACGAAAATAGGGTGATTTGTTGGCGTTTTTGGGCTCCATGTCGGGAATCTGAACACATTTGACAATTCAAGGTACTATATATACATGTGTATATGCCCAGAATTGAGCAAGATTTCAGAGGCAAAGTGCGCCCTCTTGACAGTATATTCAGTGGGCATTTGATTGAAGGCACGTTAAATGTAATTGGGGAAACATCATTAAGAATAAGTTGAAGATCACTTTCAGTCTCATCTTTCAGCAACCAATTTATCAATTCCATTCTCAATATTTGTTATTTGAACAACAAGCTCAATACATGTATATACAGATTCTAAGCAGAAAAAGGACAGTCCTGATAGAGCCGACAATTTATTTCATAAAGACTTTCATATTTTTCATTTTCTTATTACTTTGACCCATTCCGAAAATTCATAAGAAATGAAATTGTTTTTATTGGAGTAAAACAATTTAAATGTAAGAATATCGTAGAATATGCAAGAAAATATCGGACATGTTTTGTGGTTCAGTCTCTCGTGTACATGCTCATGGGCGGCAACTCGGGACGGATATTCCGATCCGAGCCACAACACATGACAGGTACCCGAGAGACTGATATTCCAATCCGAACCACAAAGTATGTCAGATATTTTCTTGCATATTCTACGATATTCTTTCATTTTAATAGTTTTACCCCCCCCCCCCCCCCCAAAAAAACCCAAAAAAAAAATAGAACTGCATACCTAACAGGCGCTTTTTATTAGTAATTAAATTAACAATACAAATAATTTATAAATCATTATAGATAATTCCAGAATTGAATGTGTGTCAAATATATAACAATTAAGCCATCTACGTTAACCAAAACCTTACATTCCATACTCAGAAAGACAGCGTTTGCAAATCATCAACTCAAATTTATCGCTGTAACGCCGATTAAATTCTACTTGCGTCATGATAATGTTTTGCTAGAACTGAAAGCAAAGACTATATTTTAATACATATTTGATTATCGCTGGGTACTTTGGTTAGACGTTAAGTAATCTAACACCAACTTGTATGAAGAATTATTATAATAAAGACTTGCACAAAAAATAGGTTACTATCTTCACGACGCCGCAAAGATATAGTGCAATCTGTGTTGGGTCATATATACTTCAAAACAGATATAATAATTATGTCAGTTGATATTTCTCATTGAAAAAAATATCACTTTTTCGATACTTTTTAAAGCAGTTTCCATTAAATACAAATTTTACTAAAAAAGGGATTTAGATTTATCTAATACACAGAGGATATGTAATGAGTGTACGGTTCAGTACTGAATTTATTGAACAAGTTGAATAAGATTATATGGCGAGCATGATAATATTTTATCCAACAAGTTCATTGAACCTACACGAATATAATAACGTTACTCCATTTACCACATACCCAAAATAAAGACTGACGTCAATATATATAGTTATAATAATATATATAGTTATAACAATCATAATTACATACATATACGTCATTCAAAATATTTCAGATTTTATTAAATTTATTTTTATTTCATGCTTTCCGGTGTTTTATTGTAATATATCAGATGATTATATTCCGATAAACCACTAGTGAAATTTATAAAATATAATTTTCACTGTAGCCGGACTATATCTGAATGCGGATGAAAAGAAAATCATAACTATATGGAATAACAGGCAGAAAAAAATGCCGTCATATACATAAATTTTGTTTCTTTAGGAAAAGAAAGTCGATGTCATCATACATCATGTTAAAAATGTAACAAAATTAGAGAAATTTAACAGAACTATATTTCAAAATTGATGATGTGACGTCATGATGTGATGACGTCACAAAGGAGAATGCGCGACGTTACGCGGCAAAATCAGTAAAAATTACTTAAAATCACTTAAAACGCATGAAATAAAAAGAAAATTTTATTTTTTTTACATATAAGATTGAAATATATTTCATTCGTGAACACCAGCTATTATATTTTCACTCGTGGCTACGCCCTCGTGAAAATATTGCATCTGGTGTTCACTCAGTGAAATTATATTTCAATCTTACATGCAAAACAAACAAATTCTCTATGCAAAACAAAACAAATATCCATAATATTTTCGTGACGTCATTAGCGTTTATTATCAGTTTGTAAAGACCGCGCCTAAATGTTAGCGTTATAACTAATAGACGGTCAATGAAAAATGACTCTTTATTTCAACTTTAAAAAACGGTCTTTATTTTGGTATGGTGATATAAAATAGAATATTAAAATTCGTGTAAATTCATTACTGAATTTTATTGCACTCGGTTGAATAAAATAATATTATGCTCCGCCAGAAGGCTCGCATAATACTAATTTTATTCAACTCGTGCAATAAATTCAGTAATGAACTTACACTCATTCAAATATCCTCTATTTATCACACAACCACCGTGTGTCGGAATATGTTTTTGGGAACTTTCCCGTAAATATGGATATTGCGCGGCCCGTGCAATATATTTTTGACGTGACGGTCATTTTAGCGTTTAAAAACATAGCGTAAAAGACGCGCTAAATGTTTTAGCGTTAATATACTATAGGCGGCGTCAATGAAACAATGACTCTTATTTCATTTTTAAAACCGGTCTTTATTTTGGGTATGTGAATAAATATAATATTAAAGTGTAAGTTCCATACTGGAATTTATTGCACTCGTTAACCATAAAATAATATTATGCTCGCCGAGAGGTTCGCATAATATTAATTTTATTCAACTCGTTGCAAATAAATTCAGCTAATGGAACTTACACTCATTCAATATCCTCTTTTCCCTTATTCATTCAAAAACACAACATATTCCCAACTCTGGGAAATGACATTAACTCAAAAAAATATGTGGACGTCACAGTACTTTTTAAAACCCGTCCCACCACGACGTCCATTGTATTGACGGCGTTGTTTTATGGAAAATTGGCGTTCACATTTCGTAAGCAGAATAGAGGAGACATTATGAAAATGGATGTGACATAAAAGCAATAAATAATGAGTCGGAAACAGAAAGAGCTACTCCCAAAGTATGAATATACGAAAGTTGAAGGATATAGAGTAGACTTTCTACGAAGGAAATGTTTGCAAAAATCATTCAAGGGAAACGAAAAGGGATCGAAGAAGCTTTTGAAAATGTCTGAAACAATTCACACTGGTATGGAAGTCCTCTGGCGTCAAAATTTTCTGTGCGATGTTGAATTGCTCTCTAACGATAGGCGGCGCTTTAAGGCTCACAGATTAGTTCTTTCGACGTGTTGCGATTATTTTTACGACATATTTGTGGAAAATTTTTCATCACACGATAATGCAGTGATCGAGATTGATGACGTTTGTGGAAGTATTCTCGAAATATTGTTAGAGGCAATGTACACCGGAAGAGTCAAAATTGAAGCGGGAAATGTTGATGATATTTTGTCGTCTGCTGCAGCTATAGGTATGTACTCAGTTATTGACGCCTGCGAAAGCTTTATGTTGGAACATGCTTCAAAAGATAATTGTTTACAGTTGCTTGGGACTTCATCAAAATATAACCTTAATCGTCTGACTGATTTGTCAATTGAAATTGCAGCGCAAAATTTCAAGACGGTTTCAAAACAACGACATGTTTTTCGTAATTTATCAGTTAACCATTTGATTTCGATTCTGATAAGAAACGATCTTGATGTTGATAACGAATTGATGGCGTTCCATCGCATGCGGTCTTGGATTGAAGAAGACAAAATTAGTCGTCTGCAGCATGCGGCTAATCTTATGGCAACTATTCGTCTGCCACTACTGGATCCGGCCGAGGTAATCGACAAGGTAGAATGTTTCGATTATCTCATGGAGATAGCGACATGTCAGAAAATGGTTAAGGAATGCCTTCATTACCATCTCATGCCAGCAAGACAGAGCCTGCTGCAGGTTGGTAAACTGTATAATCATTCAATGTACAAAAATGAAAGAATTGATAAAATTTTTAAAAAAATATTGGGAAAACACCGATCTTATTGATAACTACGTGTGTGTGTATTTATTTAACTCTCGCATGGAATACTATTCGTTCCACAGTTAACTAAACTTTCGTCGCACTGAATTAGTAGGAAATTAGATACAAGTATTGTCGTGCCTACAGATACTAAGTCGTGCCACGATATTTATCAACACAAATGTATTTCCGATACATTACTAGCATACTAAATAAATATCAATCAATTCATAAAAAACAATCAATAAATCAAGCAAGCAAGCAAGCAATCAATCAATAAGAAAAATACCTTATATCTTTGAGATTTAAAATATTATACTCAGTTTTAAATTTTCAATTCATTTTTTTCCGCAGAACGAGTTCACATCTTGTAACATCTATGTATTTTTCGCAACAAGAGAAAGTTAGTTAACATGTCACCAGCATTGAAAGATATGGGCGACTATCTTTTTTGACTAACTAAAACATCTCTTCGCAACCATTAAGAAGCTTAATCTTAGTCGTAAAATACATCTTGTTTTTACTTAATTTAGTCAGCAAGAACCGTTCCACGACAAAATGCGGTTGTGTGTTTGGTGACAGTAGGAGGTGCCCCAAGACTGGAGACTGAGCCCGTGTCTGATGACGTCATGGCGTACAAACCCGAAACTAGTCAATGGGAGCTTGTCACCAAATTACCAGCTCCACGGCAGCACCACGCAAGTAAGGTTATAACGCAAACTTTAAATAAGTAGGACGCACTTGAAAAGATTTTCGATATAGACATTCACCAATGGCAATTAGTTTTTGTTTCAACTCCGATAAACACGGCAAGTTTTATTTAAAATACCATCTGTAATAAAGAAATATCTTCCATACACTTCCATTCACAATATTCCTGTAAGTAAAACCGGAAAGAAAAATCATATAATTATGATTGTATTTTAAGTACCATTTTGGAAATTCTAAGATTATAAATTTATAAATTTCGTATGGTCATTTTTTTTGCTTATTTGGAAATATATTGAATAGTTTTGAAGTATAATTATCCCATCCCATACCAAATCAAATAACTATGTTATCCATTCCGTATCCACCAACACAGCATACCGTAAGCATGTCCGTCCCAATCAAGTCCATATCATTGTGTCAATTCCATTCCATCTATAATACCAACATCCCATCCCAGCCAATCTCATTCCACCCATAATACCCACGCCATATCCCATCCAATCCAATTTCATGTTATCCTATCTCCTTTATAATACCCACATCCCATACAATCCCATCCATAATACATTTTTCTCCCAATCCCATTCAAAATACACAGATCTCATCCAATACCATCCATAATGCCTTCACCGCTTCCAATCGAATCCCATCCATTATTCCCACATCCCATCCAATCTCATTTCATTCATAATATCTCTACCCCATCCCATCCCATCCTATCCCATCCCATCTAATCCCATCCCATCCCATCCCATCCCGTCCCATCCCATCCCATCCACTCCCATCCCATCCCATCTAATCCCATCCTATCCCATCCCATCTAATCCCATCTTATCCTATCCCATCCAATCCCATCCACAAGAGCCACATCCCATTCAATCCGTTCTGCATATACATAATATTACCATCCCATCCATATCATCCCATGCCTACCAATCCCATCCATTCCCATCACATGACATCCCATCCTAATTGCGCCTTGCAATAGTATATGGCATTTTATCCCACAGTTAATTTCGCGGCTTAACTTTATAGCTTTTCTCCAAAAAGTCGTACTTATGAGATAAATTATTTTGGATTAAATGACTAATTGGGGAACGCCTTTAACAAATTTTTAATTTGAAGAGGATCGACCCCCTAAACCCCTTTCCCCAAAAATCCAGTTACGAAAAATGCGTCCCTTAATTTTCCCCAAAGGGGGAAAAGCTTTTATTTTTATTTGCGAACATCCCCAAAATCATTTTTTTAAATTTTATTTAATAATTTGAAAACAATATAGGGGTTGGGAAAAGGTTTTTTAAAAAAAATTTTTTCCCAAATGTATTTTTTTTAATTTTTTTTCAAAAAAAAAAATTATTTTCAGGAAAATTCAAATTTTCTTTAAATATTTTTGAAAAAAACCAATGCATCCCAAAAAAAAGAAATTTTTATAAAAGGGCTCCCGAAATTTTGCGGATTAGTGTGATTTTTTCAATGAAAATTTTTAAAAATTTTCCGGGCTTTAATAAATTTTTTTCCCCCCAACAATTTTGTTTAAAGGGGTAAAGCTTTTTCTCACGCGAAATAATTATCCCTTTGATGAATTGTTTAACTTGAAATATCTTAGCTTTAATCGCTCCTGACCGATGTTATCTCGGCTGTTTCGTCATTGATCTATGAAACAGGAGGGAGAGCATCACAAGAGCTCTTGTTGCCCATGCTTTATGACCAATTATGCACAATTAAGAAACGGTTAACGAATTCTAGACCATTTCTATGTAGTTAAAAATAAGGACGCCTCTCCATTAACTGTCAACAAACCTGGTATGTAATTTGAGTTTCTATTCTTGGACACGGCCAAAAATAATGTTCTAATGAAATAATCAATTGTAAAACAAAACTTTGTTCTCTTTTTTCATGAATAACTTTCCGTTAATTGTTGCGCTTTCTGTTATTTATTATCTACATATTTATTCAGATGTGACGCCCACATAAATATTGCCTTTACACGATACATTCACGGTAGAATAATTGTGAACAAGAAAAGATCTTTATATTTTTGTTTCTCCCTGATAATGATATCAATAATTCTGTAATGAAGTAACCTTTTAAGCATGTCCTTCATACATATTCAGACATATTTTTCATTCATATAATGTTCTCTCATTAACTTGAATTCCATTACAATTCAAAGTATCAAAAAAGGAACCCAACGGCCAAAGATCGAAAAAATCGCCTTTTTTGTTTTTCAGATGTCGGCAAAATGTCAAAAGAATCATGACCATTTACTTTTTTTGGATTTTACTTCCTGTGTATTAAAACGGAAATGCTTACAGGCAAAAAGAACATTAAAACAATGTCGCATTTCCTCCCGGATAATCATTTTAAACACATGTCTGTCGGCTAAGTCTTAGCTTTTAATTTCATAGAATATGTAGATAGATCTAGAAATGTTTTAAGGGGTGTGTCAAAAAATTGACCCGCGGCAAAACATCGCATGTCTCTACATAGTGGATAATTATTATAAGTAATGGTTGACTTTCTGGATAATTTCAATTCATACATATACAATTGCTATAATGGAGAACACTATTTCTTTAGAAGTTGAGAATTATGACTACATCTGTTCTAGTTTCCTGCGTTTTGCTCATCAAAATTAGGTAAATTAAATTATAAATAAATAAAGATTCGCAATTAGTCTTATCCGTTATTTGTTATACATCCATTAATATGGTCGTTAATATGGTCGCTTTAGAAAAAAAAATCAGGAATGAAGAGGATTTTTACTTAACATTTAAGATATACATTTTACATATTTCATATGACGTTTTACTTGCTTCTAATAAATATTATTGTGTATGCTATTTGGTCATACTCTAGTCATTCTTATAAATCACTGAACCACCAAAAACATGCACCCATTTATTATTACTTAAGGATTTGCGAAAAGTTTTAAAATCTAAAAAAGGGGAGGGTAAAATTTAAAAATTTTTACATTTTTAAAACAGTTTTTCATTTTCTTTTCCGTTAATTATGATTTAATAAATTTTTTAAAAAAGCATAAACAAAAACGTAAAGCAATTTCCCTTTGGCTCTACGGGATTTTAAAGCTTATTTTAGTAAGTTTTCGGGTTTTAAAACTTTGCATTCTTATTAATATTTTACAAAAAAGAAAGGGTTTCTTTTAATATTTCTTTTTTTTAAAAAACGATTTTAACTTATAGCTATTCCCCAGTGACTACATTTAAATAGCAAACATATCACTGAATTTCCCGGTAAAGGGCGCTACATATTGACTTTTTACTTATAGCGACTTATATTTGGGAAACTTTCGGCATATTTAAATATAAAAAGTACCGTCCGGTTTGGCCCCTTTGGGGTTTAAAAAAAAATTGAACTTAAATCGGGGCCCTTTGGTTTTATTCCAGGGACAAAGGAGGGAAATATCGTTGTTAAAAGGGGCCTTAAAAAAAAACCTTTTTTCGGGTTTCCTTGGGGGACCCCCCTCTGGGATACAAATTTTGAAATTCTTGCGAAATTAAAAATTTTTCTAAAAACTTTTTAAAAAAGCCTGCACATTTTACAACCCGGGGGGGAACGTTCCCAAAATTTAATTGGGTTTTCTTTTGGCGGGGGAGGGCCCTTTTATTTACTTTTTAAGGGGTTTTTCATTAGCTTTTTCCCCAAAAAAATTATTTTTAGTTTAAGGAAATTGTTTTGGATTTTTTCCCCCTTAAAAACAACAAATTTAAAAAAATTTTTTAGGTTTCAGTTTTACCACACCGTCCTTAAAAAACCCTGCAAATTTTTAATTTTGTTTTTTGTGAAATTTTTAAGGATTCCGTTTTCCTTTTATTTTTGCTTAAATACTTTTTCTTTCTTCATATTTGCCCTATTTTTTTGGGATAAACCCTTTTTAGCCCCTTGTGGATTGGGATCTTTTTAAAAAAGCAACATATACAGGGGGAACGGGTTAATTTTATAAAAACAAGCACTTTTGGGTTAAAAAAACCCCTTATTTGAAATAAGTAAATTGAGAGAAACTATTCTCTTTTGAATAAAGCCTTAATGAAAAAATTTTCCTGGCATTTTATACCTTTTAACCTATTTTCAATTACCTGATTTTTATTTTGACAGTAAGAAAATTTAAACACATATCTCTACGAACTCAACCTATGTTGTTTTTGTTATCAATGTTCACGTTTTCTTATAAAAATACTTCCAGCTGCAGTCCTTAATGGATTCCTGTACATAGCGGGTGGAGAGGAGAAAAATGGAGTTATAGCACCGTCGAAGTCCATGTTCAGATTCGATCCTCGAACCGGCATGTGGATGGAAACAGCACGCATGTCCACTCCTCGACAGAGCTTTCAGCTAGGCGTCTTAAACAGCACTATCTATGCCGTCGGTAAGAGTGAAAAAGCTAGTTTTTTTTTAAATTTGTTCTCATAGTATATATAAAGGACATTTAATTTAAAACAGACAACAAAATGTTCAAACAAAACAGAAAAAAATGTATGTTCACAATTTTGAAGCGAATGGGTTGCGTGACAAGTTATACCAACATAAGTGAAGGCCTATCCCAGAGTTATGTAACAAAATGTTTACTTTGAAGTTACAAAACTCTTGTTTGCGTATTTTGATCATCAAGGCAGTAGAAAAAATATCAAGTATTTGTTGAAATTACTTATGATTAAAATGCAATCAATTAAGGTAGCTCGCTACTTTCCGACCGAAATTTGACAACATCTCAGATCTTGATGATTTTTGGTATACAGACATGTTGATATGTAAGCTTTACTTCTGCAGCATTATTTTACAAATAAACAGCGTTACTATGACGTCAAAGCGCCCTCTATCGGTGGCGGCGAAATTGCGTCTTTTTTATCAATAAACCAATCTGTTCTTATCAATTTTCATCCGATTTCATTCGTTTTAATTTTATAGTGTTCAGTAAATGTATGTCTTTGTAATGATATCTTTCTTTAACATTTGCTTAATAGTCTGCGATTCTACGTCATTTTTCTCTACGTTCTGACGTCCATTTATGATGCAAATATCGCGCGATATCGCTATAGAGATTGTGAAATAACAAAAAATCAACACGGTGAATTTTGCTATAATTTTTTTATCATGTAGTGAAGTCATGAAATAAAATATTTATGCAATAAAAAAATAGGGTCAACGCGTAAGATATTTTGCTATTACTATTTGAATATAAAATAAAAGGTGAGTAAAATGTAATGATTTTGGTGACGTCAAATATTTTTCTCAAGGAAATTTTCACGACTTTTCCGATAATTAGCATATTGACTGGAATGAAAATGTGTGAAAATTATCAACAACTATAGTATTTAGACATGTACCGTAAAATGTTCTTTTAAAAGTCCCGTCAGGTGCCTGCATTTCGATGAACAACTTCATTTATATACATGTACAACAAATCAGGGTATGACTGTCTGCAAAAGTTGGTATCAATCTCTGAAAAACTGCAACGAATGGTTATAACTACCTCGAGGACTGAAGGACAATTCAGAATATTGAAAGATATAATTAAAAGGCCACCTAAGTTGAAATAATACAAACATAAATTTTGCAAAGAATGTCAGAAAAAAAGAATGAAAAGGCTGGTGCAGTCGCTGTGTCATCATGATATGTGTATGTCGGAACTACATAAACTTCCATGTTATCATATGTAACAATTTCGAATTGTATATATCAGTTAGTAGGAAATGAACCAAATTTACGTTACTATAATGTATGATCATCTGAAAGTAATAATGATTTGTACGTAAGTCGTGAATCACTGGCATTTCTAATTATATAAATCTAGCAGACATTTATTTTAAAACTTTTCTACTTGTATAAAATTTATTTATTTTTTTAATCTATTTTCTCCCGCAACAAAATACTTGTAATTTATATTCCTGCACTAAGTGTGAGACTCAGATTTAAAGGAGGAATCACGCTCTCATGCTATGGTTTTAATTTCTCACGTATTTCACATAATTACAGATATTCTTATTTACTTAAAACTCGCTGACTCGCGGTATGCGTTTACTAGCGCATCTTTGAGGCGACCTGAAGCCGCGATCATTTCTCGAATCGAGGCGAAAGATCCGTTGATTTATTTTGTATGTTTATAATCAGAGAATTTTGCATATTAAATACAGATTCCCTTTTATTGAAGACGATCATGTAGGATCCTCAATTTGTGAGAATATGGTTGTAGGAGAAGCTCGTGTATTTTTGTCTGCACATAATGCAGTGCTATGTAGAGCGTATGAAAATAATAAACTATGCATTTTATGTTTTATATATTCTTATTTTTCAAATATTGGGTTTAACGCCGCTTTCAACAGTATTTCAATTATAGCTGAGGGAATTTAATGAAACCAGTGTTTCTCACAGTATAAACTTCTCTTCGGAAATAAATGACAGGAGTCCGAGGCGGACCTCGAAACATTTCATACACAGTAAACAGTTCTAAAGGATAATCTATTAGTACAATACGCAATCGTGTCTCGAATCCATACCTTGCGAATTCAGCGTAAGACCACTTTACCGCTTACACCGTGGCAACAGAAGAATATTCAAAGTTAAAAACCTGATTCTGATCTCCCTTAATAAGGCAGAAGTCCACTTTATTGTTTACATCATAAACACGTGTTTTTGGTGTGTGTTTTCGGGTTTCTTTTTTTCTATTTTTTTATTTTTGTTTTAAAGCAAACTGTATTGTATTAAAAAATGAACACGATAACGTCAACATAATACATTATTCGTATTCAGTGGTAACAAAAGTTGCACAAGTTATTTGATAATTATATTTTGTATTTAATTAAAATATACAGTATAACCTCTACAGAGAAATGCCCTTTGTTGCTTAGAGTGGTTGTTCTACAGAGGTTAAATGCAGTGGAACTCTTTAGAAAATAATATTTTGAGGGCCGCTATGTTATACTGTAATGAAAAAGCGGTAAGTAGGTATACGTAAATCCGAGTTCCAAAAAGTTTTATAGTTTGCCATTTTCTAATTATCATGACATTTAAATTAGATCATAATTATATAATCTATGTATTGCACAGACTTAAAAATGGTAACCAAAAATAAATGTTTTGTTTCTTGTACAGTTTGTTTTTAAATATTCTTAACATATTTGAATATTATTTCTGAATTTATTTATCACTTATTTCACATTTGTATGCATATCTATTTTAATTGCATTTTTACGATGTGTTTTGACACCGAGGCTCGTCTGCCTGTATGTGATTTTATGAAAGTATTTAAAAGCTGAATGTAACGGAAAATAAATGTTCTAACGGGTATAAGCTAAGCAACCTAATATTCTTACTTCATTCATACAGCAATATGTGAATCTTATTTCTTTGCGCTGAAACTAGTTAAAAATTCATATAATAATATAACACTTTTCACTCATTCATTACAAACAAACATCAAATTATAAAATTAAAATTAAAAGATGTATGAGACTGCGTCCTGCGTATTAGAAAAGTATTTAAAGGGATATTCAGGCAAATAATGACAAAAAAATTAAAATGATCTTATGTACTCAAATCACGCTAAAATGACATTTCTTAAAGTTCCAGCATGAATTTCTGTTTAAGTTCTATATATTTTGGGTTTGAAGCGTAAATATATCTATTTATGTTGAACAAAATTTAGACGCCAATAGAATCACCAAATTGTTTAAAAACAAGTCATGTGACTTTAACACACCCTTGAAGTTACAAAAACAGATATTGTGGATATTATATGATTGAAACAAGTCTAAGTCATTCATTTGACACGTTCGATAACGTTTCCAGAGTTCACTGAAACAACTATTGTGAAATCCTATAGCTCTAACCTGACCCACGCGGGTCAAGTTAGGAAACCACCATTTTATTCTTTATATGGAGAAAAGTTTTGTTCCTTAGACTGTCTAATGTATTCATTTTGAGGGCATTTACAGAATAATGAATGAAAATATCAAAACTAAGAAATGAAAATTTTGCCTGTGTCTCCCTTTAAGATTAAACATTGCAAATGTGCTCATCTAGCGCATGCTTTCAATGAGAAAATAATCAACAATTTAAAAAATATACATTTCATCAAGTTCCTGTGTTGTTTATTCTTACTATCGTAATGTTTGACGTAAGAAAATTGTTATTTGGTATAATTCTTTGAAGTCCAACGTCTATTAACGTCACCAAAACCATTACGTTACATTCCCTTTATTTTATTTTAAAACAGTAATAGCAAAATATCTTACGCGTTGACCCTATATTTTTATTGCATAAATATTTTCCTTCACTTTCTCACTACACGCTCGTAAAATTATAGCAAAATTCACCGTGTTGAATTTTTTTTATTACACAATTTTTATTGCGATATCGCGCGATATTTGCATCATAAATGGACGCCAGAACGTAGAGAAAAATGACGTAGAATCGCAGACTATGAAGCAAATGTTAAAGAAAGATAACATTACAAAGACATAAATTTACTGAACACTATAAAATTAAAACGAATGAAATCGGATGAAAATTGATAAGAACAGATTGGTTTACTGAGAAAAAGACGCAATTTCAGCGCCACAGATAGAGGGAGCTTTGACGTCATAGTAACGCTGTTTATTTATAAAATAATACTGCAGAAGTAAAGCTCACATATCTATATGTTTGCATACAAAAAATCCTCAAGATCTGAGATGTTGTCAAATTTCGGTCGGAAAGTAGCGAGCTACCTTAAACGATAATATTGAGAAAAAAATGATTATATAAACAATAAAGAACATTACATATGTATATACATGTACATGTTTATATAAATTTTACTTCTTTCCGTAAACTGTTACATGACATGTACATGCACATGTATATACACATGTATTGTTCACTTCCATCCCTGGTATTTTCACACTTCCATCCCTGGTAAGGTATGTATTCAAATCATCAGGGATTGATGATTATGCAAGGTTCCGTGTATTGATCGACATTATTCTATGCGAAAAATTGCAATATGAAAATGAAAATTTATGGTGTTTGCAGTAAGCCCCTGCATGGCGGTGAAAATCGCCAAAAAAAGAGAGGAGACTTCGACCGATCGCTAAAAATTCCGCCTAATTTGTGGCCATATATTTATCTGATCTTTTATTGTATCTCCATATTATTGTTATACTATTCTGTTAAGATGAATCTAGTTTTATATGAAAATGAACAGGTGGAATGGACATTCGCCTGACAATGGAAAGTGTCTTTTCTATCAATATAATTTTATATACAGTACAACATGTACTGATCTCAAGTATAGTTATAGGACACGCCAAGAATAAATATTATATATATCTCCAGCATATTCTTACATAATATATATACATTTTACATTTTCAAATTAAAGTATTTTTG